TTCTGTAGCAATCACAACATCATGGCTACGTAGGAGAAGGATCTGGGTACTGAAATGGCCAGCCTGCAGTCCAGATCTTTCACCTATAGAGACATTTGTCGCATCATAAAGAGGAAGGTGCGACAAAGAAGGCCCAAGACGATTGAACAGTTAGAGGCCTGTATTAGACATGAATGGGAGAGCTTTCCTATTTCTAAACTTGAAAAACTGGTCTTCTCTGTCCCCAGACGTCTGTTGAGTGTTGTAAGAAGAAGGGGGGATGCCACACAGTGGTAAAAATGGACTTGTCCCAACTTTTTTGGGATTTGTTGATGCCATGAAATTTGGAAACAACAGATTTTTCCCTTAAAATGATACATTCTCTCAGTTTAAACTTTTGATCTGTGATTTGTGTTCTATTCTGAATAAAATATTAGATGTTGGCACCTCCACATCATTGCATTCAGTTTTTATTCACAATTTGTTTAGTGTCCCAACTTTTTTGGAATCCAGTTTGTATATGAATGCATCTATTCAGTGCCCTGATATGACCTCTGCTGTTACATGACACTATATAAATAAACTGAATTGAATTGAATTACTGTTGCTGTCGTAGACCAGTCATCTTGAAACTCTTTCTTACCACACAGAGCCTTTAACAGTTCTTCTCTGAATTTCTCACAACATTCTTCCTTCTTCAGCTTCCACCATTTGGTCTTCTGTGATTTTACTCTTTTTCTCTGCTTCACAACAACAGTCATTCTACACACAACCATCCAATGCTGTCTGGCCTTGCTCTCCCCTGCCACAACCTTACAGTCCCCAATCTCCCTTAGGTTTCCTCTTCTACAGAGAATGTCGTCTACCTGCATACTCCTTCCTCCACTCTTAGGTCACTCTGTTCCTCCCACTTTTGAAAATAATTGTTGACTACATACAGCCATTTCCATTCTCTTGGCAAAATCCATCACCATCTGTCCTTCCTGCTTTTTTTTCCCCGACACCAAACCTACACATCCCCTCCTCATTCCTTCGATTTCCTTCACCAACATGTCAATTCAGGGCTGCTCTGATCCTGTCTCTCTCCTCACTGGGAATACTCTCTATCACGTCATCCAGATCCTTCCAAAATTTCTTTCTCCTTCATATCGCATCCAAACTGGAGTATAACCACTGACGTTTAGCATCAGACCTTCTACTTCTACCTTAAGTACATACTTAAGTAGATACCTTTATACTACTTCTTCAGGCGGCTGAGGCAAGCTAGACTGGAAAGCTCAGTCCTCACCTCCTTCTACATGTGTGCATTGAAGAGCATCCTGTGCTCCAGCATCAATGTGTGGCATGGAGGCTGCACAGCTGCAGAAAGAAAAGCATTTCAGAGAGTGTTGAAGGCTGCACAGAAGTCTGTGGAAGTCAGCCTCCCCACCATCACAGACATCTACACCTCCAGATGCAGGAAGAGGGCCACCTGCATCATGAATGACCCCACTCACCCAGCACACACACTTTTTGCCCTGCTCCCCTCGGGCAGAAGATTGAGGAGCATTAAATGCAGAACCACTAGACTCAGGAACAGCTTATACCCTAAGGCTGTTAGACTCATGAATCCCTAGTCAGGATTATCACTGTGAAAATTACTGTGAAAAAAAATCACTGTGAAAAAAAATCACTGTAATGCCACTTGGTTGTTGATGTGTGCTGCTGACTATCCACGATGCTGATCTCATGCTGCTGGTTTATTTCATGTTGCTGTGTTCATTCGTCCTCATCTGCTCACATAGACTCATGTTCGTGCTTCAGTTGTTTGGCATATTGTTTTGTACTATTAGTGCTTAGTGTATTTTTAGTTTAGTTTAGTGCTTAGTGTATTCTTAGTTTAGTTTATTTTTAGTTTAGTGCTTAGTGTATTTTTAGTTTAGCATATTTCTTAGTTCATGTCTTGGATCTTTCTACTGTTTTTCTTTACAATTTGTATTTTTGTTGGATGTAACTGGGATCCTGTGTATATAGTTTTGTTCCACCTCATGTACCACATGTGATGTGAATAACAGTAAAGAACCTTGAATCCTTGAAGACACATCACCCTATCTGACATTCTTTTTACCTTTACTACATTCTTTTCTAACTCCTCCTTCAGGACTACCCCTACTCCATTTCTCTTTCTATGCACACCATGGTGAAACAGTTATATTTATAACTATATAACTCATGACTTCTTATATTTGAAACAATTAGTTATAACTGCTCCAATGCTGCAAGCCTTGCTGCCTTTCCACTTAGCCTCTTGGACACATAAAACATCTACTGTCCTTCTCTGCTTCATGTCAGCCAGCACTCTACCTTTGCCTATCATTGTCCCCACATTTAGAGTTGCCACCCTCCATTCTACATTCTTGGCTTTCTTCTTCTCTGTCTCCTGACATGTTTCCCTCCTCGTGATCTTTAACTAACAGTAGCACAATTTCTACTGGCACCCTGTTTTTCAACAGCACGGGTACGATCGTTGTTAACCCGGGCCTCGACCGATCCTTAGGTGAACTTGCATATTAGTTTTGGCAAAAGTGTATGTCGGATGCCCTTCCTGACATAACCTTCACCATTTACCCAGGCTTGGAACCGGCTCAAGAGATACACTGGCTTGTTCTCCCTAGTGGATGGTTTTTAAAAGTTGTTTTGATCAAACTTTGTAAATAACAATATGCCCAACCTCATTGTCAGATCCCATGAGATGTGTTAGATTTCAGACTGTGTTGAGAATGACTCGCAGCTTCAACCACACCAGAATTAACTTAATGTCTTTAAAAACATGTTTGAGGTACAGACATACTTGCATTGGTTAATGTTGATTAGCTGAGGTGGCCATCCTAATTTGGGATAACTTCAGTAGTCAGTTGTAGATGTATCTAATGATTACTTTTTGAGAGTTGCATGGAATCCAACCAGTGATTCATGACATATTTTGCTAACAGGTAGGGTTGATTTCTACAGTTCAAGACATTGTTTTAGACAGTAATATTCCACAATGTGTAGTGCTCAATATATGTGTTTCAGATGAGGCTCAGCTACCATCACACCAGATTTTAGCTCAATATCTGTTAAATAAAAGCCTGTGGTAAATGAGACATTTTGCTAACTGACACATTTGACTCTAGTAATTATCGGCAAAGTTTTAGAAACAAATCTTGTGACAGTGACTTCTCCACAGTTTCCTTTGTTGCTGAAGGAAAATTAACTTTTATTTCACCAGTGAAACTTATCTTGTAACAAAAAGACAGTTTTCCCAAAGATCACCTCTAAATGTCTGTCATTCAGAGCTTAACTTTAAACAAATGTAGTTTTCTAAACGTGTTGTCAGAGTTGTAGCTAGGCAGTAAATTTATTCTCTTTGCCTCCAAACATAAAGGCAGCTCCACCAACTTGTCATTCGTTGTCAGTCAAATGCAGACACAAACCATGAGACAATATTACTTCAGAAATATGTTTGCTGTCTTTAATACTGCAAAGCGCTTATCAGTTCACCAGTAAAGTCTAAAACAAGGAATTATGATGTTTTTAAAACCTGCTCTTAAATAAGTGTGGTCGCTTACTTGAGCTGTGGAGGGGTATATATTTATTTTGTTGAGACTTTTTCACTAATATTTTACCTTCTAGAAAATGTCTTCACACAAAGGACAAGGCCAAACATCAGTGTTTGTGTTTTTCAGGCCTTAAATGTGGCACTGCATTATAACAGGTCTGATTTTTGTTATGACCCTAACTGCATGATCTCAGGAACACTTCCACAAATCATTGTCTGTTACCAGAGTTCACCATATCATCCATCTTGCTGGTTAAAGCTCTATCATGCAAAAAAGAAACCATATGTAATCACTATGCAGAAACGCAGCCTCCTTCTCAGGGTCAATGCCAATTCAAAATGAGCTGAATCAAAGGGTAAAACTGTTTTGTGATCAGACAAATCAAAGTTTGCAACTTTTTTTGGAAACCACGGATGCTACCTCCTCCTTACTAATGAGGAGAGGAGTCATCCAGCCTGTTATCAGTGCACAGTTTTAAAGCTTACCTCTCTGATTGCATGGGGGTGCATTAGTGCCTAGGGCATAAGCAGCTTACACATCTGAAAATGCATTATCAATGCAGAAAAGTTTGTACAGGTTTTAGAAAAACGTGTGTTTCCATCTAGATCACATCCTTTTCAGGGAAGGTTTTGCATATTTCAGCAAGACAATGTGAAGCCACATAATGCATCCATTACAACAGCATATGTTTGTGGTAGAATAATCCAGGAGCTGACCTGGCCAGAGCTTATACCAAATGAATATTTGATGCATCAGGAGACAAAAAGTCTACATATGACCCATGACTGCAGGCCAGAATCAAACAAAACTGAGACAACATTCCTTCCAAAAACTCCAGCAGCTGATTTCCTTAGTTCTTACATATTTTATCGGTCCATATTGTACACTTTAAAATAATTTTTAATGTTCTTATTTTATTGGCATTTAATGTGCTTGGTGTTAAACTTTTAAGAGGAACTTCTGTCTGCAACTGTACATTTAGAAATAGAGAATTATATTCTCCCAATGAGGTAAACAACAGGTTCGAAAGATCGGGAAATTAATTATATTTATTTAGAAAATTTAAAATAAATGCAGAGGTTTAAGTTGCTAAATGTTTGATTTAACATACTGTGGGTGGACTGATTGTCAAGCTCTTGTCTGTAACTTAGTCAGGCTTATCTTACCTGCAGAAAAATAACCCTAATGTGCAAAGTGGTACTTCTACAGAAGACTTACAAGTTATTACCAAACTAAAAATGCCTGAGTGTGTTTTATCTTTGAGAGCCCTTAATTATGTTTTTTTTTTTTTGTTCCCCTTCCTTGCTCATCTTGTATAATTTCAGATTGGAGCGGAGAGGAGTTTGTAATTAATGATTGTGAAGTGGAGTTTAGGATTTGCTGAGAGAAGAAGAGAGGAGGAGCAGGTGATTGAAGGAGGAAGAAGAGGAGAAGAAGAATATGGGCTGCTCCTCTGTTTGGATCTTTCTGCTGTGCCTTTCACTCTCTCATCAAAATGTTGCAGCACAAGCTGAAGGTATGTGATGACATTTCTACACCTGAATGCCACACTCAAACACAACATATTCCATGTAATACTTCTACGCTTATACTTCTATTAAACCCATTTAGTAACAAAATTATATGAAAGGGTTGTCAGTGACTGATGTTTAAATTACCTTGTGAATTAAAGTTCTAAATACAAACCACATATGAGTGATTGACAGTTTGGTTAGTGGAGTCAAAGAGCTGCTGCTCACTAAGCACAGTGTGTCATTAAATCTTCTCACCTGGATTGATATCTAGTTCAAACTCAAACCCAGCTACAGTTTTTCTCCAGACTGTATCTAGTCAGAACATTTAAACATCTGCCATCTTCCTGCCCACCGTCTGCAGGCCTGTCAAACTCATCTCCCAGGTACAGAAACTTGGCCTCAGGTGTTATTGGATGTCACCAAAAGGTCAATAAGTCAATCAAAAGTTAGATCTTCTTAATCTGGACCATGATTGGAAGAGAGTTGTTGGGCAGATACAGTATATGAAATGATATGAATAACTCGCTAATCTAAATGAAGTTGTTCCTCCTTTGCTCCAGTTAATATGGTTCGTTATTGACAGCAATAACTTAAATGTCATCACTCCGTGTAGCTGTCCACAATAACCTTTTGTGCCTTTTTGTTTTAATTACAAACAATAAAACAAAATGGGTTCTCTTTAAAATCAATACAGAGGGACAGCTCCAAGCTTCTTTCATCAATAGTTTTATATTAACAAAGCCTAAAAGGATGCAGTTAAGCTTCCTCACTATAAAATAACTATAAAGAATTGTCACCCAACTTTTTAGGACTCTAAAGTACAATCTTATTTTTGCTCTTGTAGGATGATATTATTATTATTTATGTTCTGGAAATCTGCTGTTTTTACTAGCTGCTCAACATTAAACAAGTGAAGAACACTCAGAGATCATCTTCTGTCTGGACCTAAGGTGTACTTCACCAGAATCCCAGTTTGCACCAAAATGTTGCTCATACTCCTATTTTGCACTAGGTTTTGTGACATTGCATGTTGGAGTTGTCCTAATTTCATTCTAGCTTTTTGACAAATAGTTAAGATTATTTGTCTTGGGACTTGCTTAAATAAAAATTAAAAAGCCACTTTCTGGTTGACAATGTGATTGTAAAAACAACTAAATATTAGAGAAACCCCAAACAGAGACTGCACTTGGTACATAAATGGACAGTGACTGATGTTTAAATAACACACCAAGCTCTTAAATAGTTATTTGTATTTGTTTTTTTACTTCAAGCACTTCATGTTTTCAGCTATTAATTTAAATAGTATTTTATCAGCAAATACATTTATTTATATTTCAGCTTTGCTTTTGTAACCAAGCTCCACTCCAGTGTTGCCTTATTTCTAATCATTTACCCACTTAGGCAGCATAAAAGGCCAAATACACACTAAACACTTCAGTGCACCTATGAATCTGCTACTTGAGAGCCCAGCATCTGCAACTGATGCTGAAAATAATAGCACAGCAGCCTTTGATTCAGCTTTAAAGTAGCAATTTTAAAGAATAATATTAGATTTGGGGGAGGGTTTTTCATTAAGTTAGATAATTTCTGTTTCTGAATTGTTACAGACGCGTTTGAAAATCAGAGTTTAGCATTAACTTTACCAGGGTGTCAGTGATTGTTTGATTTTGTTGTAAAGGATGTAAACTAGAAAGTGGTGTTAAACACCACCAAATTATGTGAACAACTTTAATTACGAGAGCCTTCATTAGCCTTTTATGTAGTAATGGAAATAATATTTTGTCATGTTTTAATGTGTTTTTTTTCTAGCTGTGGAACTTTGACCATGTGGCCTTTTTAATTTCTAAGACATACTTAAAAAAAACATTTAGATCTTGTTGGTTATTGCAGTAGTGCATCATTAAAGATTTCTTCTTGGCAGAGGTTTCTGCAGTATATGCTGAAGCCACTCAGCTACATCTAATGTGTAAATCAATGATGGTCCAGCACAATGGTGTTGCAACCTTTGAAATATCTGCACGGATAACCTTCAAGCAAACCAACCCTAATCTCTCAGCATGTGTTGTGTCCTTATCCTTGGCACGTCAATCCTGCCTGCCACCCCAGACAGACTTCTAGATAATTGATCTTGTTTCCACCTCTGTCTTTGTTTGACAGACACAAGCCTCCATATGCTGTTTTTGCTTAGGGCATCCTCCATGCTTTATGTGTTTGTGCAGAAATCAGAGAAATGTAACATTTATCCCATAGAACAGATCATGTGGCTCAACCCTCATGGAAAGGATAAAGGTTGTCTAACAAGGTTGAGTCAGGTCCTCTGGATGGATTCTTCAGAGGACCTGACTCAACCTTGTTAGATTTATCTACTTGGATTATCGAGCATGCATCAGGACAGATGAAGGTTGTGTTTTTTTTTATTACGTTCATAGTTTTAACTACCTGATAAATGTCAAATAAATGGCGCCACAGTTTCTACATATGCAAAGTTGATAGCTCAGCATGAATGACTGGATTCCTAGTGATATTTTGCTACTTTGGTAAGATATATATAGGGGTGTAAAGGAGAACATAATGTTGGGTTGGCATGGGCGGGAGACATATGTCCGCCTCTGTGAATCCTGGGATTGGAGCCAAAGCAAGAAGGCATGATAGAGGAAAGCACGTTTGGTAATCAAATAGAGGACAGGAGAGAATCACTTATCACTTACAGAACAATCAGCGCAGCCAATCTTTTATTCACAAGCCTAATCAATGCTGTCGTCACTTTAGTTTATTGCATTTCTAATGCCAGAATATTGACTTAAAGGGTGTTTGCAGACACAGCAGAATGTGTGTATGTGTGCTTGTAACCACCGCATACACAGTCTTGTGTTTTGCTGCTACCCACTGAATTCAAAAGCATCTAAATATCTCTAAACTCAGCGTGTTAAATGCGTTTGTTGAGCAAGGCAATTGACCCTGGTTTTGGATGTGTTTACCTTATTATTCTAAGCGTTCCTCATTGCTGTACTAAAGTTTTATTGCGGGAGTGCTCAGAATATTGATAGTCTCTTTGGCTCACTTGTGTCTCATTAAAAATTCATGAGGATTTGCACGATCTGGCTGCATGACAAAAGCAAAGTAGAGGAACTCAGTGTAGTGGAACAAGTGTGCTATCTGGTGGTCAGTGTAGGAACAGAACGTGACAGTTAAAGCGCTTTGCACCATCAAGTTACCAGATAAACATGCTTTTCATTTCAGGTTAAATTACTTGTGAATAACTCAAATAAAACAGATCTTTTAAAATGTCAAGTTATTTTTAGTTTGACAATAAATTCAATATTTACACTAATTAATCTATTTTTCATCTCTCAGCTTGCAGGACAGTGGTGCAGGCAGACATAGTATTTCTGGTGGATGAGTCATGGAGTGTGGGTCAGAGCAGCTTTTCCAGAGTCAAAGACTTCATCTCAGCCATCATCTCCTCCTTTCAGGACAACATGCTCAAAGCTGAGGGGGTTCGCTTTGGAGTCACTGTCTTTGGGGATGTTCCGAGGTAGTCAAGCATGGGTTTATGACAACTTGTCAAAGTCTGCTGTTTTCTATTCCATCATTTCTACATGACCCAGTTTTGCTTTATCCTTGTCACACAGGATGCGGGTTGCGTTGACAGATTACAGCTCACTTGAGGAGGTGCTCAGAGCTATCAGAAACCTGCCCTATGAGGGTGGGTCCAGGCGGATGGGCAGCGCCCTCCAGTTTCTTGTTGATTCTGTGTTCAGCCCAGCCATCAGCCGAGATTTCACCCCAAAGGTACAGTGCTTTAAACGCTCAGATTAGCTACAGGTAGTTTAACAATCTTGCATACATATTGAAAACTGAACAGTGAAAATCTTGATAAATATTTGACAAATGCTTTGAAACTGAAGTAATTTATTGATTTGAGAATACAACCCACAGTTTAAACACAAACAAATACTCACACATACTGTGCTGTGACTAGTTAAGAATCTGTATTTGGACTCCACAGGACATTGTGGAATAAACAAACAAATCAAAGGCGTCTACCTTTTTTGCACTTCTGTGAATCTGATTATAATATATTGTTATATGTGAGGAATAAAAATTGATTGAGTGTCTGCAGTTGGCAACAAATTGTTTTCTTTGTTTGCTTTTTTATTGCTTTGGGGAAAAGAAGCAAAGATAATAGATTTTCCAGCACTTGTAATCAGAAGACAGGCTGTCAATGATGGCTCACTTCTCCCAACAGTATCAAGTGAATATCAAACTGTAATTACGCAAATATTCAGTAACACACATTAAAATGAATAATGGAAGAGTCTTAAAATAATATTTAAAGTCACAGTATCTTGATGTGCTGGTGAAGATCCTCAGCCCTCCAGGTCATGATCAATCAAAAAAAATGTTAAAAACAAAAACAACTGGACTTCTGTTCTGATGCTGAATATGTTTCACTTCCCACCCAGGAGGGTTTATCAATTCTTTATTTATTTCTATTTATTTGGTTTCTTCAGCTTTGATCAATGTTTGATAGTTCCAGGCTTGTAAATTGTTATAACAATCTCAGGGTCACACACTGTAAGTCATTGACCCACCCCTCCATCCTGTGCCATTTGGGTCATTGTCACTTGCAGCATGCTCCCTAATGAGGCTAACATGTGAGTTGTTTTGATTTTGTTTAAAGTTGTGAAAAGCTGTAAAACTGGCTGGAGAGCAAGTCAAGGCTCCACTTTAGGTGTTCTTGAGACCATCTCCTCTATTTAATAGGTTTTTCATGTTTAACGTATGGTTTCTAACAACAGGGTAATGAAAGTGACCATCTACTGTACATAAGATCTGTTTGTGTACCAGTAAGCCTGCTTTTGTGCGCTTAAAAAAAAATTGTGGGATATTTGTAAATTTAGAAAAGTATAGTGGAGCCTGACTAAAGTTTATGTGTTGTCCCAGTGGTTGTATAAACTATTGATGAATGATAGTTAATGGTTATTGGAAGATCAGAGTTGACGTGTTTCCCATCACACACAATAAATGCCTTTTATATTCCATGAATAATTTAATGATTTTCTTTTCACAATAGACCCAGTTTTGAGATGCTTTTGTACAAAATTGTAATTTCTATCTATTTTACTTGAATTTTTATTTTTTGCATTTTTACTATTCCTAAACCTCCTATTACATTTTAAGGTTATTTCCTTGAAATATCAATTTTTTTGTAATAACTGAAATAAATTGTTAAGATACAACAAATAGTAAGATTACCTGTTACTACTTCTGCTACCACTACTTTATTTATAAGCACTTTAAGAAAACCACAGCTGCAACAAAGTACTGCACATGTAAAATCAAGGTCATTTAAACATTAATAATAGTAATACCAATAAAAATAAAAGAAAAACAGTCGTAAAAATAAACCAGAGCAAGTCAGGCTGTGCCAAAAGCCAGGGAATAAAAATACATTTTTAAAAGTGAACAGTGAAAGGGATCATCTGATGGGAAGTGGGAGATTGTTCCATAATTTTGGAGCATCAACAGCTTAAGCTCTGTCCCTTTTGAGCCTCTGTTTGTTTTGCCATGTTAATGCTAAACTGAACTTGTCTCAGAGGTGTATTATCCAACACTGAAATGCATTTTTATTTCTAACAGCTTAACTTTTATCAGCACTTTTTCTTTGATACTGCATTCTGATGTTTTCATGTAACCTCAGTATAATGCAACCCTTTAGCATTCTAATCATCTGACTGCATGTGTGAGAATCATCTTTTGGCAGCGTACTTGATGTTTGCGCAGAGAACATGGGATTCAGCTGATATATTAAATTGTACAGAATGAGCTCAGGCAAAAGAGAAGCTGCATTCACGTTCCCACACTTTGAACTTTGAATGAACCAAGTACATTTTTGTTAATGGGCAAATTATGAGTTCGTTATTAACCAGTGTTTTTAAATTATTTTTCACTTTTAGCATTGGTTTGGTTAATTGTGTCTTTGAGAATTAGTCCATGTCATAGATAGTGGAGGATAAGGGAATATCAGTATTTGCATGGGAGGCTTCTTCTAACAACAAATGTGGTTTGGAGGGTAGATATAAAAACCTGCTATGTTCCTATCCTGAACTTGTAGTTCAAGATAGGAACACAGCTTTTAAACCTGCATTGCATCCAATAATTGTTAGACACATTATTGGATTATTATCACCGGTATATATGATCAAATGCTGCTACAGATGATCCTTTTTATTGTTTTATTAGTCATGAACTTAATCCATAAATATACCTAATAGTATGTGTTTATGTGTGGGTGTGTGTGTGCATTTTCTTGTCCCACTATGACGCAGATTGCCGTTTTGATCACAAATGGACGATCAGATGACCAGGTGGACTTTGCAGCCAGAGTTGTTGCAGACAGTGGCATTACACTCTTTGCAGTAGGTGAGTTTGGAAGGTGATTTTATGAATTCCTTCAACATTTCCACTGCAGCAGCTCTTCCGATTTTATCTGAGCTCTGCTGGCTTATCTGCAGTGTTTGCGGTTAGAAACTCATGTTCTGTACATTTGAATTTATTGATTCGGTGTGGGGATTTGTGTGCATGTATTAGGTTCTTGTTTGGATGTATCTGAAAGCATTTGTGCAAGTGTATGTATTTGCAAACAATATATGTAAGAAAAGTGATTAATTCAGCTCTTGTAGTTCACTGAAGAATATGCACTTTCCAATATTCTTGTCTTGGTTATGAGTTTTAGCTTGCACACATCTTCCTCCTCTTCTCCTACACACAATCATAAGCACACACGCTGACAACTCATGTTTCGCAGGCAGCAGCCGTTGCAATAATTAATGCTCATTAGCTGATGGTGTGCTAATTGCAGCAATTTTTCATTAGGTGTTTCATTGTGCCCCATCTGCACCTCTGACTTGGAGGCCCTCTGCTCCCTTTAATCACTACTGCAGAAAGACTCTGCATGCAACCTGTCTACTAATGCCAAACCAGTTTACCTGTAGAAAATATGGACTAGATACAAACATACAGATGTGCTGTTGTACTATACATGCAATCTATGAATAAACACTGTTTCTTTGCCCACTCACAACTCTTTTATGTTGAATTATCTTATCTAGTAGCAACTCTTTATGTTGAAATATGTATTTTTTTATATATATATACTGTACTTCAAAATGTTCTCTTTTAAAAACAAGAACATGGCAACAATGTTACATACCCTGATGCATGCTCAGTAATCCAGGTAGAAAAATCTAACAAAGTCAGGTCCTCTTATCAGTCCAGAGGACATGACTTAACTTTGTTAGAATGTTACATACCTTATTAAAATCCACTTCTTATGTGAAATTAACAAACATAGCACAAAATGTAATATATGCCATATAATCTAATCTGAGTCTATGGTGAACTTGAATGCAAATGTTTCCCATGTTTGAACATCTTTGATTTGAATTTGATCATTCATGGTGCAATGGCTCCTCCTGGTGGTTTAGATGTTGTATTCTGTAAACTACTGAGATGAAGTCTATTATTATTGACATCAAATTATGTCCAAACGTTTGTATCTTTATTTTGCAAATATCAAAGTTGGGAATGAGTACAGTTGTTGTAACTACTGTGTCTCATTACTTTTATTTTCTCCGCTGTTCGTTTAGGTGTTAGGGGAGCTGATGAGTTAGAGCTGAGAAGGGTTGTGGCTGAGCCTCATGAGGAGCATCTGTTGCCATGCGCTGACTTCTCTCTCCTGGACACCGTCCTTCCTAAACTGTCTAGGCGATTGTGTTTCAGTGCCTCTGAACCACCGCGTCCTGTGAAAACTTCAAAGCCCAGTGAGTTGTACACGATATGCCAAAATGTCCTTTAAATCTCTGTCTTCAATCTGCATGGACTATGCAGTAAGGAAAACAATGCTTGTTTTTCCACTAGTCTCAACCCTGCAATGTTCTCACTTTCAAAATTAATGTTAGAACAACTTGCATATTCTCATCCTTTCTGTATCTGTACCATATCTTTAGGTGAAGAGCCTGTGGTGGGTCCCAGAGACCTGCAGGTGAGTGAACTGGTCCACAGCTCCCTCAGGCTCACATGGAGCCAGGCCACAGGAGATGTGACAGGATATCGCCTCCTGGTCACACCCCTCAGTTCCAAGGGGCTCCTCCTTTCCATTCAGCAGAAGCAGGTGAGGACAGCTGTACTGATGTTTAGCTGCTGAATAAATTATTTCATACTTAAACTTGGGTTTGTTCTCAAATGCTTTCAAAAAAGGAAGCTAGGAAAGACTAAGTATGTGTAATGCTCTACATGTGAAACAATTACATTTTAACATATTTCACATGTATTTGATTTTGCAATAAAAATTGCAAATATAGAAAAAAATTAATACAACTTTTGTAAGTATACATAAATTATACTAATGTCACACTTTGAAAGTAACCCTTTTAATGTACTTTAATGTGCACTTTTTTTTAAATATATTAAGAACAATTATACTCCCAGTTCAATTTATGCATAATAATAAAAATGTTCTTATTTCAGACTTTTTGTAAAATAAATTTTGGACAAAATTTTAAAAAGTAAATAAAAAAAATGCAAAAATATACTAAACCTATATTTTTAAATGTATAATTCAATACTTAAAGCTTTACATATGTTTTAAATTACATTTGAATGCAATCTTAATGCATTTTGTTTATGCATTTTGAACATAATTAACATTTATTTCAGGTAGGTATAAAATATACTGTGATGAGCTTCAATAAAGATTTGTCAGATGTATAAATTATGAAAACAGTCATTCTTAGAATTTATTTAATACTTTAAGTAGCTTCAATAAATCTAAAAATGTATTTTTGAGCAATTTATGTTCACCAAAGATACACTTAATACAAATTTTGGTAGATAAAAATAACATATTTAACTAAAGACATTTAAAGTGCCTGTATACTAGTGATTCCTCTGACTGCAAGTACTCTCAGGTAATACTTTGATTTAGTTTACTTAGTACAATTATTTTTCAACTAGGTTGTTTTTATCTACATGAATCATCTCATTGCTGAAATTTTTTTGAGTAAAAACAAGCTTTCAATTTGTACAAATTAGGATTACATGGCTTTATTTGAGTACCAAAGAGATTACTTCCCACTGAAACTGCTTTTATTGGAATTACTCATCCGGACAAAACTTGTCTGCACATATTGACCACATACGTTTCTGTTACTGTCCTCACAGCCCAAAACTCATAACAGCAGATCAACAGCAATGTGCTGAAGTGAAAAGTAGTGACTCATCTCTGCTGCAGCCTCAGATAGTTGTGCATTTCCAGTCAACGCTCTGAGCTTACTAACAGTGTTCTGATTAAACCAACATGAAATGTTGTGCTGAAAATGTGTTATCATTTTTGTTTGTACTGCAAGGGGTTTTTTCTGCCACTGCAGGAGTGTTTTCCAAAAGATAATTAAAATTCAGCTTTGTCTTATAATTTACAGTATTTCTCCTGCAGAGTTGCTGGAGCGAGAGAGGGGGTATTAGATGTGTAAAACAAATTCTTGTGGTTTAAATAATTAAATTCCAGATCGATTATGTTCATGTTTACAAAAATGTATCTCTGGTCATCAAACTGAGTAGGTTTTTTTACTCCTCAGGCTGCATCCTTCTTCTGATCGCTCTCACCATCATTATTCTTTGCTTTTTCCTTCTAACGTGCAAATTTTATCTGGGTTTTTTTTCCTCCTCGTTTGATCTCTTTGTATATAACAGCTGGACTTGAAGGCAGATGTGAGCACAGCCATGGTGACAGAGCTAAATCCTAAAACAGATTATTCCCTCACACTTTATGCCATTTATCCAAACCTCATTGGAAACTCTGCAACAGTCACAGTGAAGACAAGTGAGTGTCTCACTCCACCTCAAATAAATTACATTTCAATCTTTGTATTTCTGTTTCCTGAGCAACAACTTTGTTTTTTAGCTCCTCTACCAAAAGTGTCAAACTTCCGTGTGATTGAGGAGGGTCTGTTCTCCTTGCGTCTTGGCTGGACCCCTCCTGTGGGGAAGATCATTGGAGTCAAGATCTTCATCCCTAGATGTAAGTTGACCTTTGTTGTTATCATTGTTTGTCTTATGCAAATCTCCAATAAACATTCTTATAAATATTACTTGACTCACATGGAAGCTAATCCTCTAAGTTAAAGCATCAATAAGTTTTGATTTGGTCTTTTTCTGGTCTGTTAAGCTCAAAAAAGCTGCTTGCATATCAACAAGATGCATGCAAGATCTGTTTTTCTAGTGGTTTTGATTCTGTTTGGTTCTATAATTTGCTTTGCAGCAAACAGACCAGGATTTACATATGATCAGCTGCTTCCTGGAGATATCTCATCCCATGTGATCGACAGCCTGGAGGAGGATAAGAAATACACTATTAGTATTTACACTATTTACCCCCAAGGACCAAGTGAACCAGTATCAATAGTGGGCAAGACATGTACGTTTAGTGCATCTAAATTATGTCGGTTTGGATAAACAGAAATAAAGCCAGTTATTAACATCATTAATTGCAGGAAAATGTCATTATATAGATTATAAAACACAAATGGAGACAAACATCAGTATGTAGTAACACATTATTTCCACAGTAAGGGGATGTTGTTCTGAAATAAAATAAAACCCTGCCAGGAAGCATTAAGTATATTTCATACATCATGTTTCTATCATGGTACAACAAAAATACATCTACTAGCTTGATTAAATTATGCATCTCTTTTCTTTTATACGTTAACATTTTCACTTATTATTTAAAGTAATTCCTACTTAATCATACTTGACTAAATATGCCTAAATAAATCAAAATAGAATGTTTGTTTTTGTATAAATCTTATTTTCAATCTTGTAATGTGTTTATTAGTAAAGTTAGTACCGGTTAAGCAGTTCCTGGTCCAGAATGCAACTACAGACACAGTGCAAGCAAGGTGGGCTTCAGTCAAAGGGGCCACAGGATACCGTCTGACATGGGCATCCCCAGGTACCTCGATCAACTACTGTACTACTGTTTCAGAGATTTTTTTTATTTTTAATCAACTTCATAGTTGTCCTCTAAATAACTTCTGTTGTTCAGTTTGATTTCCTTCTTTTCTCCTTTTTTGTTTTGCAGAAGGCCACATAGAGAACATCAACCTTGGTGATACTTTTAACTTCTACATGATTCAGGGCCTCCACGCAGGCTCGGAGTACACGGTCACCATCAACCCCATCTTTGGAGACACGGAGGGACCTGTCACATCCACCAAAATCAAAACATGTAAAAACAAAAGTTCAAAAATAAATTAATTAGATAATAAATTATTCAAAGAGGCCATTTTATAAAGTAATCATCATAATTAATGGCTGTTTGTATTGAACATTTTAATCAATGCCATGGTTGTTGTAACTCGTTAGATTACCACTTTGTTGTAGATTTTAATATATTCATTGTGCATTCACTTTTTTGGTCACTGATTTGGTTTGTTAAACAAGTATTAGCAAGTGTTCATATTTATGCAAATAATAATGATCTTTTTTTACATTTAAAACAAAAGACTAGTTAAGAAGCATACCTGCCCTTTCCTCTTTATTTTCCTCTTCCTGTCAGTGGAAAGCAGTGCTGTTCAAACACTGAAGGTATCTGCTGTAAGCACTAGTACAGCAGTCGTCTCTTGGAACAGTGTCCCGGGGGCCACAGGGTACAGGCTGGCATGGGGTCCCACCCCAGGTGATTTACACTCTCTCACTTTCCCTCACTGAAAGCTTTCCAGTTTAAATTTATACCTAATGACAAGTGCAGTTACTGGTCTAAGGCTTCTGATCCTTCTACATCTTAATGAAATATTTGTGTTTTGAGTATTTTTTAGACAATCTAATTATATTATACATGTATAATTATATATTAGTCAACAAAGTAAAACATAGGATTGAGCCCATTTTCTTTGAATAAGACTGGCACAATGTTTTGAAAATCCAGTACTCCAAATAATTCCAAATGTAAACTTCACCTAAAGCAACTTGCCAGCAGCTCACGGTGAAATGCAAACATTGATGAGAAATATATGTTTGTTTGCCAAACAGCAGCCTCTGATGTCAAGTGGGAGAGCAGAAACTTCCTGGGGAATACAGTATTCAAAGTACCACTGTATTATTGTAAAATATATTTTGTTTCCCAGAGTTTGCTGGTCAAGATCGCCCCAGGCAGCTGGCTTTGAATGGCAGTACCACAGAGTACCATCTGAAGAATGTAGCCTATGACACAGAGTATGTTTTGACTCTGTATGTGCTGTTTGGCTCTGTGGTCGGGCCTGGTATCTCCGCTACCTTTAGAACCTGTAAGTATTTTTCTTTTGTATCTGTTTTACTCATCAGCTGCCACACTGTTGTGGATTATGTCTATTTCTAAATTTTAGTGTATACAGTTTTGTGATGTTGTGGCAGCTACCTTTTATCTGAATAACAAGAGGCATATCATGGAAAATAGGATTTTCTTTTCACTTTTCTATAAAAATCTACAAATTGCTTAATTTAGTGTTTTTTAGTAGACACTGCTTGAATTACTACACATGCTTTTCCTCCTCCATTTTTTTATACCACTATATGAAATATTTCCATTATGCCTGCCACTAGCAAGACCAGCTACTTGATACTCCTTCACTGGCTTGTGAAAGACGCTAATCCAATGTTCTCTTTATTGAGTCACAGCCAATGCACCACAGATCCACAGCGCTTCTTAGCCTGTGAATCACATGTTACCGGCCCAGATAACCCTAGGTCTGGCGCTGGTTCCATTTGGTATCATACTTCTTCTTTCATTTTAATGGTGTCCCTATTAGTTTGTCAATTCTTATAATTACTGGGGTATTTTAGTTGATTTGCAGCTAACTTTTATGTTAAATTTGGTAAAGAAACTAAAACTGGGTTTCTTTTTCAGAAATAGATCCTGTTTGATTCTGAATGCTAGAAAACACCTTGTAGCTGCTACATTCCTCCCCTCCATTAACTACAGTGACATTATTTACATCAATACTCCTGCAAGCACCTTGCAGATGTTGGACGCTGTTTACCATGGTGCACTAAGATTCATAACTGGGTGTAACTACATACCCACCACTATACCCTATATTCATTGGTTAATTTGTTATCATTAACTTCACGCAGACTCTCACACTGGTACATTTTCATCTTTAAATCAATTCTCGGTCTGTTGCCTTCATATATCTCCTCCTATATGTCACTCCGTGAATGCAGCTATGGTGTGTGCCTTCAGGACATATTTACTTGCAGTGTATCCTCAGTGTGGACCAAACTTGGCAAAAGGGCCTTCTCTTACTCTGGCCCCGTAACCTGGAACACCTTGCAAAAAGATCTGAAGCTGTCGAACTTGATCTCACTAAGGGATTTTAAACAACTGCTAATTTCATGGCAAAAACCAACGCAGTCATTTTCCTGTTTTTAGTATTTTACACTGCTTTATAATGTAGCTGTTTTTGTCTCAGATTTTTTTTGGGTTTTTTTTTTCTGTTTTTTGTTTTTTCATTTAATTTCCTCTATTTACTTTTCATTTTATATGCTTTTTATTTGACTGTCGATTATTGTTTGTACCTCTTCTGTTCTTTGTTTAAAACAGGCCTCTTGTAAATGAATCCAAGTGACTCAGTGAGACTAACCTGTATAAATAAAGGTTGAATTAATGAATATCACCTGGTCAGTTAGTCAGTTTGAGCTGACTGGATGTCATTAATGTAATTTTGTTGCTAATAGGTCATAATACACATAATGAACCCACAGATACATGCAAAACGATCATTATACACTGCAAAATGTGAATGTAAATAAAAGGAGGTTAAACATTTATTCACTGGTACACACTGTAATCATTAATAAACCTAGTGTCCTGCCCTCGCTCATTGTTGGTAATTAAAGCCAGCAGGACCTCTTTTATAGAAGCTGCCATTTTTGGAACCAGTCTTTGCCTTAGCAATGTGGAGTTTAAATCCTGTTCTCTGCTCCCATACACAATTATGTTTTAAACATTAAAATACAAATTAAAGCTGTATTAGAAAAATTAATGTTTGAAGATAACAACTAGAGTCAACACCAGGCTAAAATGATCTGACGTTTGATATTTTTTTAATATTACTAAAGTCAAATGTTCTGCTTCTTTATGTTCGCTCGGCAGAAATTAAAACTTGTTCTGCAACCACCCATTTTAGCTTCAACTCCCAATATCTGTTGGTCAAAGTATTTATGATCCATGAGCATTTGTCCTAGAGAGAGCTTATGACGAGAGAAATGCACTCAATATGATTTGCATGATGGTTCCATTTCGGTCGGTACACTCAGTACAACACAAGTATGGGGATTGCTCCCTCGCAAGACCAACCTGAAGAGGTTTCTTTCAACATGCATGTCAAGGCCAATGAGACTGTTGCATAGACAGGAGGCCCCACCCTCCTGGGTTATAATTATGCAGCATGGTCTCATTACCCTAATCATTTTGCATTTCACCTTGCTTTAACCTGATTGCAAGTCCCTTGTATGTGGCTTAGCTATCCAATGGGAGGTGAGCTTTCTCCCTGCCCAGGGCATCGCTACAAGGTTTGGTCCTGCTTTCTGCTTTTGTAGCCTGCTAATTACCAACATTTATTTACCCCATTTAGCATAGCTAACGGTTATTTTTTATGCTCTGCTGTTTATTTTGCTAACTGGCAAAGATCACTCTTCTTTGTTTAGCTTTACTAATGTGGGAGCATGAAAGAGCAGCACAGCTAACTTTTTGACTGTTTAGCTTGCTAACTAGCAAACTATTAAACTCTTTCTCTATCGTCCTATAATGGCTCCGGGAAACAGTAAGACGAGGCTCATTCTAGCAGAGCTAGCAAGGCAGTAAACCATGGTTCATGTCCATGTCAGAGCACTTGCATATTCTTCCTCAGAGATGGATACTCTCAACTCTTGTCCAGTATATCTCGGCATGTTACATGCTAAGGATGCACTTGCCAACCCGGAGTCTTGCGCATTGTAGCCGATGCTGGAAGTCAGCCCTGGAAAGACACGTGGGATTCCCGACAAAAATGCTGGGAAATTCAACCCGCTGCTGTCTTGGGCTCTCGAACCAACTGCAGAATTGGAGTCAGACGAGATGGAGGACAACGCTACAATGTTATCGTGGGGTGAGCACTGCAGATGGATGAGCTCCTTTCTACCACTGACATTAATGATGACCTGGCCAAGTTCAACATGCAGACTATGCTGCTGGCAGACGATGAGGTTTCTCTGACGGCCTCAGGTGGCCCCAAGGATGAGATTGGTGCTGGTGAGGAAGGAGAGGAGTTATCACAGGGGATGGTAGTGACACCTGTCGAAGTAGATGGATCCGCTCCAGCACTGTTTAAGCTCAGCTGCAGAGTGGCCGAGTGTCTCAATGTGCTGTGACCCGCTCCTCAACCTCAACAGCTTCAGATTAGACTCTTGGGTAATTATTTTCTCCTGAAATAGCAGAACTCAATGAGATACAAGCTGCCCATTTTTCCAGATTTAAAAAAAAAAAATGGAACTAACTTGGTCCTGGGTGTCCCCCATGGCCCCATTATCTCTGTGTTTATCCCCTGTTTTTGGATTTGGAGAACATGGAACCAGTGGGTCTGTCCCACATCCCCCCATGGATGTAGTACTGATGGCCCACTTGGCACCCAAACTGAATGCATCAGCCAGCAAATCCACTCTCACTAGCATGCAGAGTCAGTTCTCAGTGGCACAGCTGGAGAAAATCTTCCACTCCGAGGGTCTTGCTGCACACGTGCTCAATGTGGACTCTATGAAGCAGTTGTACCAGGCCAAAAACCTACAAGAGCTGCAGGAGGCACTACAGACCAAAGAAAGCACCACTGGGCTGCTGGACAAGGTCTTCAGGATAGCTGATTTTATCCTTTGGTTGTCCATCACCACAGCTGTCGTTCTTGGAAAAGGTATGGTGGAAGCGGTTGTCACACAGCAGCATCTGTGTTTCACCCTCACCTAACTGCTTGAGTGCCAGAGCTCAGATTTTCTCCATCAGGCTGTCGAGCCTACAGGATGTTTCGGAGAAGCTTTAGAGAAGATTCAGACCCTCTGTGATCAGAGGAGGAAACAGGAGGAGGCCCTGCACCTGGGGATGCTGAAATGGCATTATTCCCAGTCAATAGACCCCAATGATCACAGGAGTGCACCTTCTCATCAACATTCCCTCTCTCTGCACAAAAGAGGCCACCACCGGAGACCAAATCACAGCAGCTGCCATTCCCTGTGAGTCAGTGAAGGCGTCCACAGCATCACAGACCTGGACATGCCATTCTTTGTTTGTTTGTTTCTCCTTCCTGCCCTCTCAAACTCAGCCGGTCGAAGCAGATGGCTGCTCATCCTGAACCTGGTTCTGCTGGAGGTTTCTTCCTATTTAAAGGGAGTTTCTTCCTGTCCACTGTGGCCTTTATGCTTGCTCAGGATGGGAGACTGTGATGAAGTGAAGATTCAGCACAATCTGCTGGCTTCCTTAGATAGAGAACTTTAACTAATGGGCTTTTTTATGTACATGAATGTTTTTTGTACAGTGCCCTGAAACAGCTTCTTTTGTGACTTGGCACAATATAAATAAGCTGAATTGACTTGAATTGAACCCAGACTTCTTGGTATCTTTGTTTCTATCTATGTAGGTTCACCAATAACATGTCACATCTTATTACACTGCCTGACAGACAAAATGCTACTTCAAGGGAACTAGAGGTTATGAATATAACAAGTGTTCCCTGAGGGAGAGAAATGAGGTACAACACAAGTCAGACCCTCAAAGCTCCAAAATCTTGAAAAAGTGCTAGGTAAAGGAGAGCGGGGTCTCTTGTGAATGCAGCAAGTCTCAATGGTCTTGGCAGGCATGTTGAGATAAACTTTTTTAAGTTGGTCTTGTAAGGGCGCAATCCCCATACTCCTGTGTAGAATTTTGTTTCCCGGGAACATTGGTTATATTCATAATCTTGAGTAGAGTAAAATACATTGGTCTTTTGTTTTACTATTTTTGTGTATGTACACCCAATTTTAGGGCTGTAATGTTCCGTCAAAGTATTCCTATCACTAAAGCACTGTTGTGGGGGAAAAAAAGAGAAAGACATTCAACGATATAACAGGAAGGCTAAATATTTCTTGTCTTTTTACTTTCTCAGCTCCTTTAGGTTACGTGTCAAACTTCAAGGTGTCATCCTACACAAGTACTTCTATAGATGTGGAGTGGAGTCCCATCGTTGGAGCCACAGAGTACAAACTTTCTTGGAATACAGGTGAATTATTTAATCATACATCTCTCTACTGTGTTATGATGAACCTTTAAAATATGCGTTTTAACCTGCCTAGCTAACTTTCCTGCTTTGTTTATAACTTTAAACGTATGTATATTTTTTGTGCCTATGTCCATGCTTGCAGATGATAGTGCACCTCAGTTCCAGTATCTGGACCACACTGTACTTGCACACCAGATTACAGACCTAAGTCCACAGTCCATTTACACCATCACCATCTGTGCAGTATATGGCAACTCAGAAGGTCCAGAAATCTCCTTATCTCAGCTCACAGGTACAGAAAGAAAACTATGGGTTTGCTTTAATTTATCATGATTTATTGCTGTGTTTTGTGCAGCCATTCAAATTAAATGAGGTGAAGCAGAAATTACTTTGCTCCTGTACTTTTTTGTCACATTGACACTTTTACCTCCAGATTTGTTCCCTTACTGTTGCTGTCACTTCAACTATGTGTCACTGAGTCCGAGTCAGTCGGGTTGCTTTCATTTTAACAGTGCCATTGTCAAAGTATGTGTGTTTCACCAAACTCCAAGTGTAGAATGAGAGGGCATTTAAACAAAAGTAATCTGTCTGAAAATTAAATGGAAACTTTAACATCTGATGTAACTGCAGGATTTTTTTTTTCTCAGCTGCAGTCTCAGACTCGGAGCCAATCCAGGCGGTGAGGGAGGTAAAAGTTGTCGACATTGGAGTAAATTCCTTCACCCTGTCTTGGAGAAAAACACCAGGGGTTTCTGGGTACAAAATCTCATGGATACCCTTCCTCGGTAAGAGACCAAAAAAATAAAATGAATTAGTGATACAAAGCAAAAGCATTGAGACATCTTTCATTTCTTTATAATTTGAAGATATAAGAATAAGAATATATATATAAGAATAAATATAAGAATAAATATAAATATATAAGAATATACATATAAGAATAAATGACCCCTTCATTTGCTTCCAATGAGCCAGAGTGATTTTAGTATTTTCAAATAGTATTTCTGAAGATCTCTTTAAAGTTTAAAAAAAAATTTTTTTTAGTTTCTCTGAGTTTCTTTTTAACATTACCAAGTATCGGATATGTGAGTCTGGTTTCAATTAAAACTGCTTATTGCTATCATTTTTAATAAATGGTAAATTAAAAAATTCACAATTTTACCTCACACGGCTCATCTGTTTCGTGTTTTAGGTGTATAAGTGTTAACAGCAGTGTTGTTTCACAGTCTCATAACCGCTACATGCTGAATCTAATTATTTTCTGCACCAGGGGGTAATGAGAAGTCCCAAGTGGTATCTGCAACTTTCACCACCTTCACCATCAACAACCTGCGGGAGAGCTCAGCTTACAAGATCCAGGTTTCCCCACTAGTGGGGAGGAGGGAGGGAAGCCCTGTTCTGGTTACCGCACGAACTTGTGAGTCCTTCCTGCATATAAAGAGACAAACATACTGACACAGAATATATTCACACAATTATATATTTAAGTAAAATCACTAAATATAAATAACTACCAGTATACAGAGTATCACAATCAAGGTAAAACCCAGAGTAGAAGAACTGAGGCAAAACAGACTCAAACTCATAAATAAAAAAGGTGACTTTATTTACAGTGTAGGAATGTATTACATGGCAGCCTGGGAAACCTGGTGAAGGAGGAAGAGTGTAAGAATGGCTTCTGGAAGGGAACGAATAGGTTATGAACAGGTTTTCTATTTCTTACTGGTGTTTTAGAGAATTCAGAGTGTTGAGAGCAGAGGATTCTAGGTAAATATGGTCCAAGGGTTGAGGAGTTAGTAGAAGTACCGTAGTGGATTTGTAGATAGGTAAGCGGTGAAATGGCAGAGGAGCAGCTGGACTATGGAAGGTCAAGGTTAGAGTTCTCTGAGATTCAAGGTGAGGACTCATATTGGAGGCAAAATGAAGAAACAGGTAATCCAGGACTTGGGGCCCAGGAGGCAGGTTTGGTTGGTATTTAATGCTCTAGCAGGGAAAGGAGCACTTCCACAGCCTCTTATACCCCTGGACCTCATCAGAAGAAATGGCCCACAGCTGCTGCTCATTGGCACCACCCACGACTCAGGAACCTGCAGAGGAAAATGCTGGAATACTGTACAGAGAATAATATACCTGCAGAGGCCAATGCTGGAATACTGTACAGAGAATAATATACCTGCAGAGGCCAATGCTGGAATACTACACAGAGAATAATGTACTTTTTCTTGGTTCCCAAACTTTTCTGCTTTTGACCCACAAAACAAGATTATTTAGCTGAAGTGCACAAACTTAACTAACAAGCTATATGATGAAACGTCTCATTAAATATTGTAAAGATGCTATGCATTATTAATTTTTTTTTTTTTTTGTAATAGTCAAAGCTAAATATGCTATTGGCAATTATTTTTAAAGTTCAGGGGAGTGGTGGCGCAAAAGTTAGCGAAGGTGAACCTGTGATCGGAAGATTGCCGGTTTAACTCCCAGCACTGACGACATCAAATATGTGGGTGGGATAGGTGAAGCAGCCACACCTGCCCCCACCCTCATTTGCCCCACTCTGGGCCCTTGAGCAAGGCCCTTAACCCCCACCTTCTGCTCCTCCAGGTGCCCTAGATGGCAGCTCTCTGCTCCACACAGAGAGCTGTGGTAGCTCGGTGATCTGTGGTTGCGTCAGGAAGGGCATACGGCTTAAAAATAATTGCCAAGTCTTCATGCGACTTAGTTCTCTGTGGTGATCCGTAATGCAGGGAGCAGCCGAAAGAAGAAAAGATAAAAATACAAAAAAATCATTTTGAAAGTTCACTTAATTTCTGTAGATCTTCTCAAGAACTCACACAGTGTTTCATGGCATCAAGTGGGGTTCCAACCCCAACATAAGAAAACACTACTCTAGATTAAGATGGCATTATATTTTTCTACTCTGGTATTAATTTTTTTTATAGTAGGTACATTAAGTTAATTGAGAACCAGTTCTCATTTACAAAGACTGCCTGGCCCAGAGGCAGCATTAAAAATAGATACAAAATATCAGTGATAAAAGCATAAAAACAAACAAAAAAAAACATTACAATTCAACATTTTTATAACATATTACATCAAATGCAGTAGAGTACAGTGGAAATAATAAAAACAATTAAAATACCAGTGACAAGCATTGTAAAACAGGTGGATAAAAACAAGTGCAGTGATCTTGTGCTTGTGAATGCATTGTCAAATCATACAGATTACTGCTTTATTTTTACTCTTTCTGTCAACCTGAGCCAAACAAAACTGCAGACAAACTTTTCTTGTATCATCTTAGCAGTCCATGCCTGCTCATCTGTATTATATATATGATATATACTGAATATTTCAGCTTCTACGAAAATGTTGCAATTTAAAAAAAGTTAGGGATCAATGTTGACCTTTGACTAGCTTCACTTTACATTTTAATATTCATGTTTGTGTGTAATGTGTTTCAGTGGATCTCCCAAAAGTGGAGGGGTTTGTAGCTCTGAATACAACTGACAGCAGCACTATTCTGAACTGGACCCGTGTTGCAGATGTTTCTGGATACCTTCTCTCATGGAGGCACATCTCAGGTCAGAGACTAAACATAAACCACTAATGTTGTGTAACAGTATAATTTGTGCACATTTTATTTCAGTCCATGAAATAAATCAGCATATTGTGTTGCATAATGAGTCTTTCTGTTTTTTCTAAAAAAAATTTTTACATGTTAATAGGAATTTCTATATAACAACTTAAACAAGCTATGCATGTCTTCAATTTCCCAATAAAATATGAAAATACATTTTATTCTAGATACAGCCATAACAATAGTTTTTAAAGAACAATAGTATTTTAATTGCTTGGCCTTGTGACACATCACCATATTATGACCAAATGTTTTCTCTGTTTATTTTAAAAATCACTTATTACATCATGATTGTGTGTCATTTTAAGTGTTGGAAACCAAAACAGAGACCCTGGGCCCTGCCTTCTCTTCCTATAAGATCCGTAACCTCCAATATGGCAGAACATATATATTTACCATCAGACCATTGTATGGAGAAGTGGAGGGACCTGTAAGCACCATATATCAGAGGATCTGTAAGACTTCTTTCAATATGATTAAACATGTATAAATACCTGTTTTACCACAGCGATTAATGATTGGAAACAATGTTTATAAATTTAAGATTAGCCACAAATATTATCTAAACAATTACTATGTGGCCTACATGTTTACATTGCAGTAAATATTGTTTAGCAGCATGCGTATATAAGCTAAAAACTATAGTTTCAAAGCTGATGTTTATGATAAGTAGCTTGGAGTATATTTGAATACTAAATTAAAAGCAAAGCGTTCCCTGAAGGAATGCATTATGCCCGCTGCGTTTTTATGTCAGAGTTGTAAAATGAGATAACTTTATGATGTGAAGGGATGACATTATAGCTGTTTTGTTGAAATCTTGTAAATGTTATGCACGATCTCATGAGATATTGTGAGATCTGTTAGCCCTTGTTGATAAAAGTTAATCAGTTGTACATGTACATCTAGTGATTACTTTCAGAGTTTATTTGAAATCCACCCACTTGTTCATTAGATATTTGAGTAACTTGACTGACAAACACACACATTCACACACCAGTACACAGACCAAACATTGCCCTTTCGCTTTCAGTGGTGGGCGATAAAATGTAATACAAAACTGAAGAGCTAGACTTTCAGCGCCCTTTCACAGTTTGGCTTCTGATACACACCTCTGTCAAAACAGTTAAGGGGTTTAACTACTCTGTTTGTCAGCAGTTTAAATTAAAGCACTTGGAAAGTATTTAACTTATCTGTATAATCAGTATATAAATTATTGTTTTGGTATCAATGATATGGAGGTTTGTTCATTTCTTTCTGACTCAATTCTGTAATCTATGGCACTTTCTCCAATTTATTTATTTATTTATTTTTGTTGTCTTGTGAAAGCTAGTTTCAAGCGACAGACATGGCTGCTTGGATGCTTCTACAAATACTTGCCAAGTTCATTTTTTAAAAATATTTTATGTATGTATCACAGTGGGACAAAGTGATCCTGTGAAAATGGGCAAATCTACGTCAGCTACAGTGACACCAAACTCTCCATACACCACGACTAGTCCACAGACCACCTCCACTGTCATCACTACTGCTGCTCCACCTGCCACCACGACCACCGAGCCCCCCACTGTTGCACCACCAACTAAATCATTATCAACCAAGAAGCCTCCAGATCAGCCTAAAACCAAAGCAGCTTTGGTCACCGCCCTGAAACTGACCACAGTTGGCGCAAAATCTACAACTCCACCTCGACCAGGTATGTAATGCTGGTTTTAGTCAGATAAGTTGTAGAAAATCTAGTTTTTTTTCCTATGCATTTGCTTTCTGTTTTTTCAGTGTGTGGGAAGGCCAAATCAGACATAGTATTCTTGGTGGATGAGTCCTCGAGCATTGGCGTTAACAACTTCATCAAGATGAAAGACTTTATTTTTCGAGTGGCCACTTACTTCCCTGTTATCGGTCCACAAGGCACACAGGTCTGTTACTCAGTGGAAATATTTTCTGTACTTGCTTGTTTTGGCATGACCTGCTCAAATTTAGCCTTATAACTTTCATAAGTTGAGCTGTAAATTTATCTTTTCAAAGTGTTTTTTTAATAATAATTTCTACCCACAGAGCAGGTGTAGTGCAGGAGGATTAGTTATAACATAATTTAGTCTTCTTTCCAAATACAAAGGAAGACAAGCTCTACAAATATGAAACAAATTAACTTCCGTCAGCACACTTAAAATAGATCAGAATGTCTATTCTGCAGTGATGTGTATGCTTGCTTTTAATTTTCTTTCAGATATCTTTGGTTCATTACAGCGATGAGCCTCGTGTTGAATTTCGTCTAAGCGACTTCAAAGACAGAAACTCTGTCCTCCGGGCAATCAGGGGGCTGCGGTATGGAGGGGGTAACACCAAAACAGGTTAGCAGAACTCACTCAGATGTGAACACTGTTTTTCTCTGTTTGCAACCTGTCGTCAGTCGACATATAATTCCTTTAAAAATGTCCATGTCCTGCTGTTGATGTCTGTTTTTAGCAGCTGTTATATTGAAGTAGAAAAACACTCTACCCCCAATCTGCTATTATCAGGTGTCAAATTTGATCTTTTTTCTTTGTGTGTGACCAGGAAAAGGGATCAGCTACGTTCTGCAGGAAGTGTTCCAGGAGTCTTTGGGGATGAGGCATGATGTGGCCCATGTTCTGGTTCTGATTACAGACGGCAGGGCCCAGGATGATGTAATGCCACCCTCCAGAATTGCACGGGCTTTGGGTTAGTTTAAAAAAATAATTCTTACTGAATCCAGTGAGCATTTATCAGTTTTGCTTCAAATTGATGGGAAATAATGGTGTTATTCACAGAGTTAGGTAATGCTAATCATGATTTATATTACTGTTGAGTTTTAACCATCATGATTATTTTTTTGCGTTGGTTCATTTCTTTTTTTTAAACTCCAAAAATAAAATAGAATTAATCTGCCTTAAAATATAGAAATAGTATGTTGATTCTAAATGTAGGCCTTTGGAAATTAAATCATATTTTACATTTTATTGTCAGTTGCCCATGTTAAACTATATACTACCTAAAGGTTTGATTCTGTCTCTGTTTAGGGGTCAGTGTTTTAGCAGTCGGAGTTTCTAATGCAGATATAGAGGAGCTGAATAAAATTACATCTCCCACCAGCTACAAAAACATCTTCTACTGTCCAACCTTTGATGACTTCCCCTCCATAGAGCGGGAATTTATCGGCAGCATCTGTGGTGATGAACTCCTATCCGAGTTTAAACTAAATGACGAGGTGAGGAAAAAAACAAGACAAAAACAATTCTAAACTGTATAAGTTTTATATTTATTCCTCTTTGTTCAGTGGCTGCAATCAGAAGTGCAAAGAGGGATGTGTTGTTCATACACATCAATGACAAAAACACATCCGAGTGTATATTTTAAGCCATATTTTGATGTGTTTGATTGTACCTGAAGAGCTCTTACTATGCACATAAGTACAAAAACCATGGCCATGTAAAAAAGCTTACTTTAAAAAAATAATAATTTCATGTTTAGTTTGCTCAGTTAGACACTCCGACTGAAGACCCAGAGGAGCTGCATAAACCTCAGGGTCCCTGTCCCTCACAGTGTGAGAAGGTTAGTGCAGAATTATATTTCCTTAAGTCAAAATTATGAGGTATTTCATTTCTGAATCAGTTATTAATCATGTTAATTATGTTTTAACAGGGTCAGAAAGGAGCAAAGGTCTGTAAAGTGATCAAAATAAATATTGTTTTGTGTTCTTGTTAAGCAGAGTTATTGATTTTATTTCATCATTATTTTCAGGGAGATGGTTTTAGCCTGGGAGGTTTGGTATGTTTCTTTAATAGCCTATTCCTTTATTTTATCATTAGCTGAATCTTTTAAATTAAACTTGTTTTTTTTTTTTTTTACCTGTAGAGGTTTAGGCAAAGCCCTGGACAATTTGATCCTTTCACATCGTCCAAAGGAGAAAAAGGAGAGAGGGTAAAAATGAAATATCACTATTGGTGTTATTGGATTTTCAATTATGTCATTCTTTTGCTGTATTATTGGCCACATTTCTTGAATTTTCTCTTTCCCGAACTCTGATTTTAAGATGCTGCATAGACAGTTAACCAGTAGTCATGGTGACAAGGGCTGGATGATGGATAAGCACATGTTTCTAAATGTTTAGGGAATACTAGTGTAGTATGTCAGGACAGCTTTGCTGGGGACACACTACTAATTAATTATTCTTAAAGCTAGTTCAAGCACAAAGAATATTAATTGTTTAATTACAACGGATTCTTTTCTCTTTCGAGTTAAATTTCTGCCATGTGACCGAGATAACTGTGAGTGGATTGTTTAATCAGTGACATGAGACGCCATTTTATCTTTGACCCATCAGAATAAATGCGGTCATTTATTTAACAGAATCAAAATTTAACATCAAAACATGTACACATTGATTTGCTGATCTGTTTCTGATTAATAAACTTGGCACGCTTTACTAACAAGACAACAGAACATTACTGATTGAGGCTGATTCACCTCTGAAGGCATCTAGATTACTGGCGAATAGAAAAGTTAAAGAGGAGACATAGATTTAAAGATTTAAAAAGGAGGTTTAGATGGAAGCTATGTGTGAAACCAGAACATTGCACCCTTCCTCCGACATCCCGCTCAGCTTTCCGGTACACTTCAGGACGTGCAGCGACTTTGTTACCTTAGATGGGGGATACCTCCACTCCGGAACAGAAGTCCATTAGTACGGTCCCTTTACAGCGTCTCCGGTTAAAGTATCTGGGAATCTTTAGAGTAAATACATATACTCATGAGGTACTCGGTTCCACCGAATAAGCTTCCTTAGAAGTGGAGCATTTACTGCTCGGGTTGAGTGCACTGCGATGCGAGCGGTGACTCAGCTAAATGGAGGGACCCCTTGGCACATGGTCCCATCCATCCGCTGCTTAAGTGAGTCTCATCTCTGACCAAAAGTTCCAGCAAGACCTAGAAGAGACTGACTCGTGAAGTCTAAGACTGAAGACTTAGCCCTAAGACTTAAGACTCCTACTGAGTTCCAGCACTGAACTCCAGGACTGCACTTCAGGACTGAACTGAGTTCCATGACCGACCTCCAGGATCGAACTGAATAGTTCCACGAAGTGTTCCTTTTAAAGGGGTATACACTTCCTGTTACGTGGTACTTCCTGATTGGTTGGAACAACCAGCAGGGGGGTGGTTCTAGTGATGTCAAGAGGGTCACTAGAAGTCAAGAGACAGCATGAATGTTTACGAACGGTTAGTACAGACAGAGAAATATTATGACGAAGTGGGACAAACGCAGGTGCCAGTTGAAGTTATTTACTGTCTGCTAGTTTTAAAAACAAGACACTTCATTCTAATAACTCGTCTCTGTTTGTCTCTGACTTTTGACCGACATCACTAAATGCACACTTACTTCGTAAATAGACATTTAACTGTATGATCAAAAATCTGCTGAGGTTTAAAAATCATTAATACTGTTTCACAGTTGATTTAAATGAGTGGTTCACTTCAACATTTAGAAATGGTATGAACTAAACACACTTTTGATTATCAAGATATTGTAAAATAGTAATGATAATATAAAAAAGAAAAGTGTTCTTTCAATTGATTAATTCAGGATACAATTAAATAGTCTCTTGATGAGATAATTTGTATTTCTGGATTCAAATCAATGAAATAACAGTTCCTGTCCCCTGAAGGTCTTCAGAGACAGGTTGAGGTTGGAGGCCTAGTTCACTACACTAGAAAACATGTATTTGACAAGATCGCTGTATTAAACTGTGACATAGCCATCTTGTGTGTCAGCAGATATTATGCAAACATTTAAGCTTCTCTAACAAATGAATACTTAATTCTGAAGTGTGAATTTATGTATAAAAAATAGTGGCTACAGAAGGTAAACAAGTGATCCTGACTGACTGTATAGCCTTTATTTGACAGGGACCTCCTGGCACAGATGGCATCCCTGGGTTGCCAGGGCGACCAGGACGAACTGGACCCCCAGGTTCTCCTGGCCAGCGGGTATTTAAACACAAAATAAATAAAAATCTCACAGTGACCTTATCCAATTCTCAAAAGATGACTTTTCTTTCAATTTCAGGGTTCTCCAGGCATCCCAGGTGACATGGTGAGCTCTAAAGGTTTTATTAGAAAAAAAAAAGCATTAAATTGTTGGTGCAGGTGGTTTAAACAGTCCCTCATTTGATATCTTTTATTTGTTGTCTTTTCAATCTAGTTTTGTAAAATGCCAATGAATAAGTTATAATTATTAAGCACTAAATAGTTAAAAGATGTTCATAATGTAAAAGACACAACCTCAGAGGTGTGAATGTGAATAAAAGTTCAACACTTTGAAAAGCATCACATCTAATGATAAAGATGAGTAGCAGTTTTGCATTCAATGGGATTTTTTTTTTTTTTTAAGTATTTTGAAGCCTTTTGCGTTTACTACAGACAAAAATAAATAAAGAATCCTGACCCCCTACTATAGATACAATGGTTCTGGTATTAAAAGGAAAGAAAGCTACAAATCAGTGCAAGTTATCCTGAGAGTGTCCCATTAATCCTCATATGTGTCTGACTTCCATTTGCTTTAGTCACCAGATCTTAGCCCAGATATCAAAAGCAATATTTTTGGGTGGCAGAAAGGCAGCTCCGAACCATCAACACAAGGAGATAATCATTCTGCAATTCATTATGTACACTAGATTGTCTTTTTTTTTTTTAACTGTAACAGAAAAAGTAGAAACACACAAGAGATTAGAAACAGACAATAAATTTAGTATTTATGAAAAACAGTTTTGAATCTGAAGCAGGTCAGATGAGTAAGACTGTTCTGTAGACTAATTCTACAGAATTAGTACTTTTAAGGCAGCTTTGTGATACTTAATTATAGTATGCTATCCCTTCTTTTGATGGTTTACGATCACATCTATGAATGAATTGTTGACCTTTGTTTCTGCTTATGTCATTTAATTTCTCCTGTTGATGGCAGGGTTCTCCTGGACTCACTGGTTCAAAGGGACAGAGGGGAGAAAGAGTGAGTTGAACCTTAGCTGGAGCATGCATCAGGATACTTGGAGTAGTTTTTCTTTCAGAACTGGGCTCAATACATAATCATCCACTGGATTTTGTGACCTAAAATGCTACTACAAGATCAGTGGAAACTATATTAATTGTTTAGTTGTGTACACATGTTTGAAGTTCACTTTTGTTTCCACACAGGGAGAGCCTGGGTATGTTATCGCTGGCACAGATTCTAATTTTGTCCCGGGGCGAAAAGGAGAACCTGGGTCTTCAGTAAGTCCTCTCAAAAAGGTTTTTGAAGTTAATCAAAGTGGATTATTATGCAATTCAGCCATTATTTTCTGCACAACGCAGGGCCCCCAGGGACCACCAGGAGTATCGGGTGTCAATGGTTCACCAGGCCTGCCTGGCCAACCTGGACCACCAGGACCACAAGGAATATCTGTGAAAGTAACTAAGTTAAGATTTTAAGTTACGCAAATGGTTTTGTTCTGTAGCAAATCGTTATGTTTTGTTTTAAAATTTTTATCAGTCCACATGACATTGTGTTATGATACATCGTTTTGATGCAGCAAACAGTCCAACAGAGCTGCTTTTGTGATTTCTGCTTTGTAGGGAGATCCTGGAGAGCCGGGAGCGAAAGTAAGTGTGAAATTAGCCTTCTTCATATAATAACTAGCTAGTACTTTTGCTTTATTTTTCTTTAACAAGATGTAAGCAGAAAAGTCTTTTTTTAAGTCCACAGAATCAGTTATTTTGTTACATAACATTTCTTTGCTTCTGATCACACTTTCATTAATTTTTGAAAGGGTTTACGGGGGAAGCAGGGCATGAAAGGAGACAAAGGAGAACTGGGAAAAGATGTAAGCACACAACTGTTATTAGCAGTGGGGAAAAAAACACTGGGTTGCTCAAAAACATTGTATTTAGACTATTCTTGTGGAAGGAAAAAATGTTTTTGTCTCTTTTTTTTTTTTTCTACTGTCAAACTTTTACACAAATGCAAATTTCTGCAGGGTATTGCAGGTCTGCCTGGTCCCATTGGCATTGATGGGGTACCAGGACTACCAGGTCAGAAAGGACAAAAGGTGAAACTGTCACTGCATATTTTTATATTTCAATTGTTAAAAAAACAAAAAAAAAAAAACTGTTATGTTTTGATTTTCTGCACATAAATTGTTTTGAAGGGTGAAGAAGGAATTGGTATACAAGGTAATCAAGGCCCTCGTGGAGAAAAAGGAGAGAAGGTACATCTGTACATAGACAAAACTGGTTTTAGAGACCCAGGATGTGAGTTTGTGTCCTGTTTAAACTTATTTTGTGTCATTTTATTTTATGCAGGGAAATATTGGCATAACTGGAGCAGTTGGCCAAAAGGTATCAGAAATTTATTTTTAACCTAATGAACATGACAAGTTTTATTGTAAAAGTAAATTAAAAATATTTGCAGAGTAATATTTTTTTACTAAATTGTCTTTAAGGGTGACCGTGGAGATCAGGGTATCCAGGGTATTGCTGGACTTCGGGTTTGTACATCATTTTTACGTTCAGTTGAATTGATCGCAACAACTTTCTGCATGTTTTCTCTTTCAGTGCACATGAATTAGTTTTGGTTCTCAAAAATGAAATAAAGCCAAACTTTTTTTTCTAACTGAGCTTGTGTAAGATTCAGTGATGTGTAAAAAAACATCATGGCAAAGTGATTCGCTTTTACTTGCAGGGTAAAAAGGGACTCAGAGGAGAGCAAGGGCACAAGGTGACTTCATCCCTTCCATCATAAAGCTGAAAACATGCTGGACTGACATGGTGTGTGTATGCACACATCTGTCACAGGTGTTTATTTATTTTTCTTACTTTTGTTAGGGGGAGCAGGGAGACATGGGACCTGCTGGGCCACAAGGACCTCAGGTGAGTGAAGATTATAACTTAGAGAACAAATTTGAACTTAATACTAAATAAACTTAACCTGAGATGAGATTATCCATCCATTTAGTTTCTTTACCCACTTTTCTTTTCTGGGTCGAGGGAGAGCTAGGTCCTATAGCAGTCACTGTGCGAGAGGCGGGGAATGCTCTGGACAGGTCTCCAATCCATCATAGGGACACATAGACAAACGAGACAACCATTCACACTCTCACCAACACCCTGGGTCAATGTAATTACTAGTTAACCTAACATGCATGATTTTGGTCTGTAGGAGAAAACACATGTGCACATGGAAAACATGGAAACTCCACATAAATGTCCTCAGGTGGAAGTCGATCCTGCAACTTTCTTGTTGTAAGGCATCATGGTTAACTGCTGCTCCGCCATGATACCTGAGATGAGACTGAGCACCTGAAATTTAAGCAGTTATAGATCATATAAATACATTACTGCTCCCCAAATAATTTCATATTATATATTAAAACCAGTTGACTCACGCTAGCAAATCAAAATCACAGAGTTTTTAAAAGTTAAGGCAATTTATCAGTCAGATGCTGGCCAGGAAAACTTAGAAAAGGCATGCAATTAGATCAGCGACTGTTCTCTAATGCAACCAGGCAAACATCAGGGATGATAAAGAACCAAATGAGAAAGTAATTTTGTTCTGAGGATCAGAGTTTATCACAGATGGGGAGTGATTGCAAGCAATTGTGAGCTGAGGTGTCAAACCTCAGTGAGTATCTTTTGCAAATGGTCCATTTTTCCTGCTTCAGTGCTTTTTAATTTGAGGCATCGGAGTTCTTTGGAAAATATTAGCACAACAATTGATGTCTTGGGGACCATCTCCCTGTTTTTCTTTATGAAATCTTCATTTTGTAATACAAAAAGATTAACTCTGAAGAAGAAAATTCTACAAAAAAAATAAAAGGAATGCAAGTTTTCATGCGCATAAGCTATAAAGAGACAGCTTTTGGATGGAAGCCTTGAACGAAGAATAACAGAAATGAAGTGTAAAAGTTTAAAAAGGAAAAGTGCATTTACATATTTGCCTTGACTTTAAAGGGGCAGACAGGGCCGTTGGGACTGAAAGGAGATGAAGGTCCAAGAGGAGTCCCTGGAGATCCTGCCAAGGGTGTAAGAAAACAGTTCTTCACTTATAAACTTCATAAATAAAGTCATTCATAGCTCAGCTCTCCATTTTACTTTTTCCACCCTGACAGATAATTGGTCCGACTGGAAAAAAGGGCGCCAGGGTAAGTTAAACTTTTAGTTATTTACTTATTTGCCACTGATTCTCCAGATCAAGTGAACACAGTTTGTAGATCTTCTTTTGCGATAAAATTAGATGAGAACACAAACAAATATCTGATATGAAAATGAATTGTATATTAAGGGTCAATATTTCTAAATTTAAGTTTTTAAAGATATCCAAAATATTTAAGCAAGTGAAACAACTCTATTTGTTTTTTTCACTGCCTCACATGTGTGTCTGAGTTAGTTGCATTTATTTATTTATCTTAACGGGTTGAAGATACGTCAGTCAGCTCGGGGGAAGTGATGCTCTTGATGTTTCATTCCATAAAAACATTGTTAATTAATTGTTCAGGGTATTCCTGCATGCTCAGACTCAATCCTCTGGGTCCGCTCGTCAAACACAATTAAGATTTCTCTCATTAACTTTTGCAATTGGCTTCTGAACGCTTTGTTGATGGGGACCTCTTTAATCTCAGTCCACAGGGTATCATTTAGAGCAGAGTGAAGTTTGGCCCGTCGGCCAGACTCATGTTGACTGATGTGTGTGTGTTTGTGCTTTCTGTCTGTCAGGGAGACGTCGGTCCAGTTGGTTCCACAGGTCCTCAGGGAATGAAAGGAGACCAAGGAGACAAAGGAGAAAAGGTTGATGGATAAAAAATATGTCTGTCATTTTTAGATTTGGTCCAGTTCACCAAAATAAAAACGGTAAATACATTTTAAAAAATGTTGTCTGATTCAATATGTGCAGGGAAGTCCTGGTTTTGGGATTCCAGGACAGCCAGGACCAAAAGGGGAAAATGGTGAGCGGGTGAGTCACGTATTGCTTATACTCTGTTTTTATGTGCCATTTTATAGCATGAAAGAACATGAATATTTTATATTTGTTACAATTCACAGGGAAATGTTGGTTTATCAGGAAAACCAGGACCAAAAGTAAGTACATTTTTAATTTTTAAGACATTTACACCTAAAACTTCATGAAACTAATGAAATCTTAATTGAAACATATTTAGTCAGTTATTTATTAATTAAAATAATCTTGCATACATAATTTTGGGTTGTGATGTAATTCTTTTCAAGATGCAGTTCAGGTGGTTTTAATTAATAAGCGGGCTTTATTACAGTCTGATTTCTAGACTTTGTGGAAATAGATCATGGTACGAATGAAACAGAGTATTGCAGCACTAAACAGAAAGTCCTTGCTTCTCATCAGAAAGTTGATTATCTTTGAGGAGGACCAAATCTAAAGAAAAATAGAATTTTGCAGCCAGATAACGTTTCTCAAGTTTTTCTCCTTAAAATATTATTTTAAACTTTTCTTTAAATTATATTGAGTCAGTTTTAAATCTAAATCAAGAGAAATGTGAAAAGTCAAAGCAAGTATTTCATAGGAAAATAAATGCCAAACTGAAGTTGGACTAAAATTCCCCCAAAGTTGGAGTCTTAAACTGATCAACGATAACAGAAAAGGTTTAGTTGCTGCACAATTTCACCAGATACTAAAAAAAAAACAAATGTTATATTTCTCACAAATACATCACATTGGACAAGTTTTGTCAGTGAATGTATTTAGACCATTTTATCCATATATAGGTTTATGTATATTAACTGTGCTTTAATAGAAGGGAGCCAACGATGAGTCATTACTTGATGTTTCACTCTGCAGGGTTTTGTTAACATTTTTCATGTAAAGGCTTTCCTCTCAGATCACTTTAATCAACCTCATTCACAGTCACAACAGGCAGCTGTTTACAGCAAAAATGCTGTAAAACTGACTGCGTGTTATTTACCCAGCATCCCTCAGCAGGCAGACAAAGCTGGTCACAAGCAGGTGTATACAGTCAAGATTTTAGCAGCTTGACAAGCAAACGTTTTCCTCCTCTGTTGTTAAAAACCAGATCAAGACAGACAATATGTTTTTCTTCTTGTCTTCCTTATGAGGAAAAATAAGATAACATTTAAAACTTTATCCATAATAATTAAAATGTGCTCAAGTTTTAAATCAAAGTTGTTTTTTAGGGACGAGATGGTGCGAAAGGTGAGATAGGGAGTACTGGCTTACCTGGCAAGCCTGGCGATCCAGGATTAAGAGGTAAAGATGTAAGTAAATCCTGAGTGGTTGTTAATGGCAATAAAAATATTTTATATTATGCAGTGCAATTCTGATATATTTTTTAAATATATTGTTAAAAAATAAAATAAAACATCGGATTTAAGATTCAGTCATGACTCGGTACTACGTAATGAATGCTGGGACAAAAGGACATAAATGATGATGTTCAAAATGTTTATTAAATTATGTGCAAAAGATTTTAAATTAACATAAAATTCAAAAGTGAGTTCCAAAATTTGTCTTTTATAATATGTAAATGTTTGTAGAGATGCTAATTACCTTTACTATAAACAAAATTATAACTAATTACTGTAAAATTATAATTATTGTTAACTGTCTATACAGGGAGTATCTGGAGCAATGGGAGAACAGGGAATAAAGGTACAGTCGTTTTTTAACTTAGTACTTGTGATTTTTTTTTTCAGTCAACATTTAAAATTTCACTTTCTAAGCAGCATTTTTTTTTTTTTTTTTTTTGCATGTGTGGAAAGTCATAACCAATTTATTGCTGAACATGAAATATTGCTGGGAACTGCTTATTTCATGTTGTCTTTTGTAGGGTGAACCAGGGCCAGCTGGAGAATCTGGTGAAAGAGGAATAAGGGTATTTTGTCAACATCATGATTCAAATAAAACTACATATATCATCATCTATAATAGATGATTATCGGTAGTTGCTGTACAGTTAAAGATAACTTGGAGGAAAATATTTACATAATGCAGAGATTTATAAATGCAACCGTTCTAATCACTGCAAACAGCATACCTAATTAATAGTAGCTTGTATTAAAGGACAGGTTGACTGAACTATATTTATGATGAAGTTGGAACAAAACTGAATCCTGATTTGTGAGAACAAGATTTTTAGTTTGATAATAGCAAGATGTTTGCACAGATTTTTTTTCCTGAAAACTCAATTCATCCTGATGTCTGAAAAATCTATTGTGTGTTTTATTTTCAGTTCTTAATCAGTTTGTGAACTATTAACACTGAATAAGTTGCTCAACAAAGCTCATGGTGGTTTTAAAATATGCATTAATATATAATAATATGTTTTTTGATATCCCATTCTTACTGTTGGATCAGGGTCCTCTGGGGTTACCAGGGCGGCCAGGAGACCCTGGAGAAAAAGGTGACTCTGGGAAGTCTGGTCAACCCGTAAGTTTTATGACTCATTAGTTAAAATGTCCACCCAGGCAGAATGGCCTGTGTTGCTTTTTGGGATTCATTGAGAATATTTTGTGTTCATCATCATTGTAGTTGTTTATTTTTAACTTTTTATCTTTTGTCTGAAGGGTACTGATGGAATGAAAGGTGATAAAGGCGAGCCGGTATGTTTAACTCTATCTCCTCCTCTCAGAGGTGGCGATGATCATTGTTCTCCCACTGACTGCGTTCTGATCATTCTTTTTCGTCAGTCAACCTTTCACATCTTTACAACCCCACTATCCTCCTGTGACTTCATGATTTCTGTTTTGATATGTTAATAATTAATTAGTTTTTTGTGGGCGTCACCCCTGAGTGAACGTGTTAATTTCCTTGTGTGTTGCAAACAGAATTTTAGATTTTAACAGCATTTTTTTGGTATTTTTCCTACCATGCTGGCATTGTCACAAAGGGGAAACCAGGACCTCCGGGAACACAAGTAAACAAATCTAATTTATTGTTTTACACAGCTTTCCTATCAGATTAAACGAGTGCTCAGCGTTTGACAGCATTTATTTTAACCACACACAACAAAAACAAAAGTCTGTTTCTGAAATGTTTGATGTGTCACTCTGTTTTTCATCAGACTGTTTCAGACAACAGTATACTGACCAGAGTGATTAAGGTAATTTAAAGAACAACATGAAACAATATTTGACTTGTTCAGATTTGTTATTACAATTTTTTCCTTTCCTCTCCTGCAGGGTGAACCAGGAGAGTCTGGTCAGCCTGGTTTGAGAGGGGAAGCAGGTGTACCTGGGCCAAGAGTGAGTAATCTGTCACTTCATTTGCATTTATCAAAGTCAAACTGATGCTTGACTAAATTTTCACAACAGTGAAAAGAATAAAGTGTCATATGCAGTAATGATATAAAATGTTCTAAACAAAAACTACTAATCATCCCCAGCCTTCAAGCTTTCTATAATATTTATACATTTTAATTAATCCAATAAATAAATATCTAACACTGTAACACAGTGTAACACTGCATGTTTCAATTGATATTATCTATTTTGTAGGTAAATTATAAAATGCTGTAAAAAAAATATTTGTCTTAAGTCACATATTTAATTGTTTTTTTCCCCTTATCATTTTCCCTTTTCATCAGTTGTATCTTTCTTTCACATAATTGTAATTTTACCAGCTTAAAAAAAAAACTATCTCTGTTGATCCTATCCAGAAATCCTATCTCTGTTAATTCATGTATCCCTACAACTATACGCAATAATGATTTCATGAGATTCTTTATAAATAAAATTGTTTCAATTAGGGAAAAAATTCAAACCAACATTCCTAGTATCGCCTCTGGTTCTGTGTCCGATGAGACAACTTTTAAAATGTCACTAGAACCTGATTTATGTTTGGACTGTTTTTGTCCTGTTGAGCTCTCTGAATTGTCAAAAATAATAACTTCATCAAAACCATCCACATGTCTGCTAGATCCCATCCTAACCAGGTTATTTAAAGACATATATCCCTTAATTAATAGCCATGTCTTGGATCTGCTTAATTTGTCTCTAATAAACAGTTACGTACCACAGAGCTTTAAGACTGCTGTAATTGAACCTTAACTTAAGGAACATAACCTTGACTCAGGAATCCTAGCCAGTTATAGACCTATATCTTATCTAACTTTCATCCCAAAAGTTCTTGAGAAAATAGTTGCTGGTCAGTTACCTGATCATCTGCAAATAAATAATCTGTTTGAAGAGTTTCAATCAGGTTTTAGAGCTCACCACCGCACTGAATCTGCACTGGTGAACGTTATTAATGATATTCTCATGGCCTCTGACAATGGACAGGTGTCTACACTGGTCCTGTTAAACCTCAGTGCTGCATTTGATACAGTTGATCATAATATTATTTTACAGAGACTTGAACATGATATTGGAATTACAGGAACGGCTCGAAATTGGTTTAAATCATATCTATTTGATAGATTCCAGTTTGTAAATGCAAATAATGAATCTTAATCATACACCAAAGTTAGTCATGGAGTTCCTCAAAGTTAAGTGCTTGGACCAATACTCTTTACATTGTATATGCTTCCATTAGGTAATGTTATTAAACAGCATGGGATAAATTTTCATTGTTATGCTGATGATACACAGTTATATTTGTCCATGAAACCCAATGAATCCAATCAGCTATTCTGACTACAAACATGTCTTAAAGACATAAAAACCTGGATGACTCTAAATGTTCTGCTTTTGAACACAGACAAGACTGAGGTTTTAGTTTTTAGACCTGAATATCTTAGGAATAAAATGTTCAATCTTTCAACCTCCTTGGATGGCATATCTGGCCTCCAGCTCTAATGTTAAAAATCTTGGTGTTATTTTTGATCAGGACATGTCTTTTATTTGCCACATTAAAAACTTACTAGAACCACCTTCTTCCATATGCATATCGCTAAAATTAGAAACATCTTATCTAAAAATTATGCAGAAAAACTGGTTCATACATTTGTCACGTCTAGACAGAACTATTGCAATGGTTTGTTATTTTGGGTGTCCAAATACTTATTTAAAATGTCTTCAGTTAATCCAAAATGCTGCTGCCAGAGTCTTAACTGGAGTTAGTAGGAGAGATCATATCTATCCAGTTTTAGCTTCTCTCCACTGTCAAGTCCAGAATTTAATTCAAAATCTTACTTCTAACCTACAAAGCTCTCAACAACCTAGCTCCATCTTATATTCAAGATCTTATTGTTCCATATTTTCCTAACAGAGCACTTCACTCTCAGACTGCAGACTTACTTGCTGTCCCTAGAGTTTCCAAAAGCAGAATGGGAGGAAGATCTTTCAGTTATCAGGCTCCTCTCTTGTGGAACCAACTTCAAGTTACTGTCTGTAAGGCTGACACATTGTCCAGTTTTAAGACTGGGATTAAAACTTTCCTTTTTGATAAATCCTATAATTAGGATCGGCTTGTCATTCTTTCTTAAACTTAGACTAATAGAGGGCAAATATACCTCATTTCCTTAAATGATTTGATAAAATTGAATAGTTTTCATTTGATACTATTTCTATCTTAACATGTGATTCTTGACCTGCCATTGTTTATCTGTTCCTACCAAACCTAGACGGTTGAAGCAGATGGACGCTTGTCCTGAGCCTGGTTCTGCTAAAGGTTTCTTCCTCATGAGAGAATTTCCCCTTTCCACTGTCACCTTCATGCTTGCTCAAGATGAGAGTTCTGCGATGGAATTAAACTCAAAGCAGTCTGCTCCTCAGATAAATAATGTTAAATTATTATTTTAAATATGAATGTTTCTGTTTACTTATTTTATATGAATATTTCTGTTCAGTGCCCTGAGACAACTTCTGCTGTGACTTGGCACTATTTAAATAAACTGAATTGAATTGAATCTTTGCCACTTTGACTTTGCAATGTGATTTGTTTTTCATTAAAACACAAGTTGCTCAGACATACAAAAAAATGTAGGGTATTCAATATGCTTTTTGTGATTAAAAACCTGACAGTAATAGGAAATATCTTTAATATTATTTTATTTTTATTTTTCAGGGTCCTGAAGGGAAACCTGGATTACCAGGATCATCACAGGTATAATCACAAACATTTAACTCCATAGCATCGTCTTCTCTTTTTTTTTTTTCCTCAGCAAGCCCTAAAAGTGATTTAAGTATGTTCAGGTTTGAAGCTTTTGTTTTGCAGGGTGGTTCAGGAAGAGGCGGTTCTGATGGTGTACCAGGAAAACCAGGAATGAAGGTTGGTAATTCAAATTTAAATTCAAAAATACCTTATTAATCCCAGAGGGAAATTAAATGAAGCAGTTGTGCTGTGCAAACATCATTGATCTGAGTATCACTAATGTAGTAACAAGATGTTTTGTGACTATTGTAGGGTGACAAGGGGCTAAAGGGAGAGCCCGGTTTGGTGAGTTCTGCAGTGTCAATTCATCTATTTCCTTTAAACAGCAATAAAGAACAAAATCAGACAGTTCACAGATGGCAAATTTAGTTACCTGAAAGATCACGTAACAAAGTATCTGTAGGTCAAAAATGCTTCAAAGCAGTGCCCACAAAAACTTTAGAAATGTATACATTTATTGTAATAATGACTGCATTGTAAAAAGGGTTTTAATATATTTGTAACCTTTCAACAATATGTAAACATTATTGCACTTTGATTGGGTAAAAAGAGCTGAGTGTATTGTCTGTACATGTATTGATACTAAGAATTATTTGTTCCTTTATGGTTGTGATCAATACTGCTGGTGACACTGACTCTTCTCTAAGCTATAGGAACTAAGATATCAATCCATTTTTAATAGAAATGTACTTCTAATGTGAATTAAAATTTTAAATTGAGCAATTATCCATCCATTTGTGCCTTTTATTTGGGTCTAGATTATTATAATGTGATGTATTATACCATTAGATACTGTTCTTAGAAGATACTGCAAATAAGAGAAAAATATGATCTAATGATACATAATTGTAGTTAACAATAATCCCACTGGTTTTATATAATACTTTATTAGTTTGACTAATATAACCATGAATTGGGAATTAAATCTAATTCAATCCAACACCATTATATTTAGTTTTAGATTGACTTAAACTGTCTTGAATCTAACTTAATTAAAAAATTAAAGTGTGTGTGCTTTATATATTATTTTACAATGACAAAGAATGATGTAAAAACAGAAATGTTTTAAGATTTTAGACAAAATGACCACATGCTTTTTTGTGTGGAAAATAAATGAACTAATGTCTGACCAATTCAATGGAGGTGATTAAATCTCGCTGTGTTTGAATCTGTGTCTCAGTTGTGATCATTTACAGCTGGATATACAAAAAAGACAAACTACTGAACATATGCACTTTTGCATATTGAGCTGTATATTATTTCATGTTAAACAGTTGTTGTTTTGTTGTTGTCATCATAGATTTGACCCTTTTTTCATGTTTTTTTTGTTTGTGCTGTTTTATGTAATGAACTAGAGTAACTTTTTGAAAGCTTTTGAAATGGCTTAATGTTTTTATTTAAGGAAATCACATCCTCAAACTGTCTCTTTGCTTTTTACATTTGTCTGTATTTGACAAATATAAGATTACACCTTAATGTTTTTGTGTATGAACAGAGAGGAGAAAAAGGAGATCAAGGTGGGGTTGGGATTACTGGGATGCCTGGTTTACCGGGAACACCGGTGAGTATTTTACCGAATCCATTTGGTTGAAGCTGGGTTTTTTATATTATTTAAATGCAGGATTTTATAAATCGTGGAGAATGTTGCAGAGAGCCCAAACAAATGAACCACCACAGGCAGGCAGGTGCAGAAACTAAATTAAATGCAAAAGACCCATCTCAAATGGGTGCACATACTGTACATCTGAAACCTGAAGCTGAGCAAGACCATAGAAAACCTAACTAGACTCAATAAGTGAGGATCTGAAGACAGCTGAAAAAATTAAAGTACTGAGGGAAATGATGTGACAGACAGGTGTGGAGGTTATACCAACACCTGGTGTGGCTGGGAAGCAGTAAGCAAGACAAACTGGGTTCATTGCAGAAATGATAAACAAGAAAGAACATAGTAAAAAAAAAAAAAAACTGCATAACTGAAGACTAAAATGTTATAAAACAAAACAAAACCACTACACAAAAATAAAAGATTAACTCAAAATAGAGCAAAAGAGCAAGACCACCCAACTGATTAAAATCAATACTGGAGTCCAGATTAAAGCCAGGAAAATATAATGTGCTGTAGTGTTTAATCAGCATGAACCAGTATAATAACCAGTCTGAGAAACATCTACACAGATTGTTGTTCCTTTCCACAGGGGAGGCCTAGTGTTGATGGGAAAAGAGGCCAGCCTGGAAAAGATGTGAGCAACACAAACTGTTTTGAGTATGTTTGGGGATTTTACACATATTTTTCTTTTACTTGAAATGTGTTTGTTTCACAGGGAGAAAAGGGACCCAAAGGAGATGATGGAAAAAAGGTTTTAAAAATGTTTTAGACCTAATAAAAAATTTTAAACATCTTTTTGAAAACATGATTTAACTTTGCTCTTAATTAAAGGGCGACATGGGGGATCCAGGTGCAAATGTAAGTATGTTTTAAATGTTAAAACAACACGATTTTTGTAGACTTGAAGTAGACATTTTTAAATAAAACATTTCTAATAGGGTAAAGATGGAAGTAAGGGTGAGCCAGGACCTCCAGGTTTGCCAGGTAGACAAGTGCTCGTCACTTCAGAGGTAAACAAACAAACAAAAACAAGCTTTAGTAGTTGACTGTTATTTATGTAATCATAACCATTATTACCTACAGGTTTTATTCATAAAGTAAGAACTGATTTGTACATTTATTAGGCAAGTAGCTTAAATAAAAAACTATTATTTAGAAAATGATATTGTATTTAACATTTGCAAATTATTTATCTTTTCAATTAAATTTTCTGGATCACAGTTCATGGCCAGCATTGTTTAGGCTGATTTTTAGCTTTGTGCTTTTTTCAGGAAAAACAGGTCCACATCCACCAAAACATCTTTAACATCAGTATTTTCTGTGTCTCTGTGTGTGTATCTATTTTCAGGGCGCCACAGTTGAGGACATTCGACAAGCCTTTCCAATCCCAATGGGTCCTCCAGGGGCCACTGTTAGTTTATTTACTCATCATATTTCTGCATACAGCATGTACAGCTCATGAATAATTGCACGTTATTTCTGCCTTATGACATAATTCATTTGGCACCTACTCTGGGTTTCAGTTATCAGTGATGGCTTTATGGTTGTTTTGGGTGGGAGACAAACTTTATGGCAAGCATGATGTAGATGCACGTTAAAATGTGTTGCTCTTCTGGTTTTTTTTTCTTTCTTTCTTTTTTTCCCATATAAAGGGTTCACCAGGAATGAAGGTAAGATGCTAATGTTGTTCATATAGAAGCTTTTCAAAACGCAAAACAGAAATGGTCCCAACATTTCATCTGTCTTTTTTGCAGGGTGATAAAGGAGAAACAGGCCTTAAAGGGGAGAAGGTGATAAGTGCTGTATCTTAAAAACATGGAAATGGAAATTGTGTTATTTTTATTACATTTACGTATTTCTGTGTTTCTGCAGGGTGACGCCGGAGCTCCTGGAAGGTCTCTTGAGATGAAGGTTGAATTATGATATTGTAATTCCCTTTCTGGGATGTGTGTTTTCATTTTGCATTAATAAATCCCTGAACAATGTATCTTGCTTCTATTTTAGGACATTGAAGTGATGTTTGAAGACTATGGTATAAGGGTGAGCTCTTTGCATTACCATGTATGCATTAGGATAATAGAATTTGTCACGGTATTGTAATAGGAGAGTAATCTGAAGTTGACCATCTAAATAAAACTTCTTTTTTTTTGTCACAGCTGCCTTTGCTGAAGGCTTTGATTGACAGGCTGCTGCAGGATGGAATAGAGGAGCTGCTTCATGTGCTCAGCAACTCGAAGAAAATAAAAGAGAACACAGAAACCTCCAACGTCATCTCTGAGAACACGGTATGCAGTCTTTGGGGATGAATTCTAATTTTTCTGCTGTCTTGTTACTTATTCATGCAGAGGAAATACTGAATTATCCTACTTTTATAAGACTCAAAGGTTCGAAGCATCAGAGGTTCTCTTGTCCACAAAATGTCATTGAACTGAAGGTTAATATTGTGTTTTGAAGGTCCACCCAATAAGCATTAGTTTAAAACATAAGTTGAAAACACCTATTTTAAAGCCACATAAATACAAAAAAACCAAACAAAAAAAAAACAAAACAAGGACATTTAAACCATTGAAATACTCTGCAAAACTAAATCAAATGTTTGAAAATTGTCAGCTCAGAGACACAAATAGTTCACAACTTGTTCAGTGAAGAAGAAAATAATCTCACACTGAGCCTTGATGGAATACAACTGCAAGGTAACCCTTCCCATCTGCATATTTTACAGCCCCGTTCTCTTTCAGTTTGAGTTTTTAACGCCGTATCGATGCTTTTTGACCTGTTGTCTCATTTTATGTTCATGTTTCAGTCACAAGACACTTGCATCAATAAAATTAATTGAAATATTTGAGTGTGCATCTGCAGATCGCCTATAATTAGAGGAAAAGTTGGAAAATAAAGTTGTTTTTCTTTTTAAACAGAGGTCACTGAAATTTGACCTCACCAGCCAGCCGCAGTCAGAGCTGGACAATCAGCAGCCCGTCTCAGATGAGCAGCTTCCTGAACCTTTGTCGGCCGTAAGTAACTTCATTAATCATTGTTAGGTATCTACAAAGTAGGTAAAATATTTCTGCCTCTAGTTTTAAATTATTAAATTGGCTTATACAATAACTCAGATTCTCAGGGTCTATATTTGGCTAATTTGAAACTTTTATGAGCATAAAAGTTTTGGATACCTTGATTCAAGAAACAGATTAAAAAAATGGTTGCTCTTCTCACTGGTTATTTAAAGGTAAGGCCATCATGGCTCAGAGGGAATTTATTTGTTTATGTAAATTTAAATAAACCAGAGAAGGAAACTAAATATAGAAAACATATTTTCTCACAATGCACATTTTTCCAGACAAATTAGTCTTTACCCTAGATTGTTTATTCCAAAATATGATCTCACTTTTTTCCTTTTTTGTTGTTTCTAAAGGATTTTTTAAATGAAACTGAAGCGAGTCCGACCTCTTGGACCATCACCACACTCGATGATCAGCAGAAACTCAACCAGATTGAAACCAAGTTAACGGGATCCAGAGGGACCGAGATTAAAGACTGGAACAGGAACGAGTCTTCACTCAAAATAAATCTGACTTTAGTCAACTCTACTTTTAATTATACCACTATAAACGAGGTGTGGATATTATAAAATATACATATTTGAAAATTCTAAACATTTTTGAGATGGTTTGAAATGAACACTTTCCATTAATGCATCTCTCTGTCTTGACAGATTTTATTTATTTATTTGCCTTTATCCTCTTCCATTATTCCATTTGGCTCCTAATTATTAAAATTAAATTTTATAAACCATCCTTTAAAATAGCTTTCTTTAAACTGCCTAATAATTATACGATACGTTCACCATACACTGTTAAATTTTCCGCATAATAATTAAATAAAATCTAAACCTATTGTTTTAAAACCCACCACAAAAATCTTGGTGGCAGTCATAGTTCATGTTAATTATAATCTGTGTTTTTAACATGAAAAATGTGTACATTTGTGTTCAGACGGTTTCAGGGGTACCTGAAACTGTGGTGGAGACTGTTCTCCTCAGTCAGGAAGACCCACTGAAGAAGATCTCTGCACCAAAGAAGAAGAACAGAGAGCGTGGGAAAGTAAAGCTGCTGAGACTTTCTCATTATCGACAAGAGTTTAAAAATACATAAATCTTAAAATGCTGCTCAGTCAGTTTAGAATAAATGTACATAATTAAGGGCCATATCAGGGTTTCACGTTTTAGCTCAACTTTCCCTGTGTAGAAATGAATAATAATAACTAAAGTATGAAAATTAACTTTCAAAGACATGTAGAGATTAAAATTCTGCCATTGAATTATGTCATTTTGAGTCCTTATGCAACAAAGTTAAATTGTTGCAGATGGGAGCAGGCTCTTTCTGTATTCAGACATTCAGGAGTTGGGGCACTAATGAGATGTACAGTTTAAAAAAAAATCAAACATAAAATAAAATTCAAGTAAAACTAACTCAGAATCTACTCAGAATTTATGCTTCTTGGACTTTAAGAACTCAAATCCTAACATTATTGATTATTGAGCATGCATCAGGATATCAAATCCTAACAGTATCTACACTGATTATAAATGTGTCTGCAGGTGGATTTTTACATCTGTTTTATTTAGTCAACAAATGAATTAATGTGTTTGGAAATGTGAATAATTAAAAACACGCCATGTCTCAAATCAGTGGGAAAGATTAAACTCAGTCAGCGGAAACATGGAGCTTCTGGTGTGGTCCTGGGGTAATAATATAAATACTTATAATAAACTGATAAATTTACACCTTTTAAATGCCTTTACTTGGGCTTTAAAAAAAACAAAAAAAAAAACTAATAGTAGTCGTTAACTATATCACCCTAAACATATCCATCATAATTTAAAATTTCATCTACGCCTTTTGAAGCATGAGAAAATGTACTTATTTTTTCTCTTTTTATTCGACTTGATTTCTTAACCAGGGCAAAGGAAATAAAGGACGTCGTAAGAGGCAAAGACAGCGCCTGGTAAATGTCTTGAATGGGATTAGACTAAACCCTGGAAACTAAACGTCACTCTTATCCCGACTGAATAAATGAAACTAACACTTCTCACCCTGTAAAACATGTGCTAACACAGCCTAACATAATGTGTGCAGAAAAAAACACTTTGGTCATAACAATTAATAAAAACATAATTAGAAATTAACCTAATGCAAAAGTTATATACTGAATTACCAAGTTATTGGACAGATGATGAGGCTTATGTAACCGCTCGCATGCATTTATCCAAATGTCCGCGTGCTTCTTTTTCTTTTCTTTTTTTTACTAATGTGTCGCTCTGTTATTACTCAGATTTATTCTTTTTAGTCACACAAATAAAACAAATGGTGTTTTGTATTAGAATCTTCCTTTAATAATCTTCTTTTTTTTGTCTTCAGACAAGTGAAGAGAAAAAACAAGAAGAAGAAGAAGAGGAGTTTTATGATGGTGAAGATTACTCTTATGAATACGAGGTAGGAAGCACTAAATTAGTAATTCAGGCACTGCTGGAAACTCTTAAATGTGCTGTCGATGACGTACATTCTATTTTTCTTTCTTTTTTTAAGTCTGCATACTCGTCAACTCTTGAAACTCAAATACATCCATGCCCACATGAATACTAAAAAGCCTTGATTAATGACACACCCACTACCTGAATTTAATTATTAGGAATAAATTAGTTGGTCATGACAGCTCACTGCATCTGCTCAGCGTATTATTTGTGTGCACATGTTTAAGTTATAATGAGAGTTTTTGGGGTTTTTTTTACAGGAAGAACTTCCCCCAGATGAACTCTCATCCTCTCATGAGAAGACAGAGAGCACAGAGGTAAAGTTGCTTCAAAGAGAATGTTCTCATCTGTGTCAGCTGGAATGGGTATAAATGTTATGATTCATTTTTAATGTAAAATATGTTTTTGTTGCTTGCAGCTTGAAGTCCAAACAGATGAATTCCCCAATCCTGGAGATAAAAAGGTAAGCATATGTAATTAAGTTGTACAAGTGAAACAAAAACCCCTTTACTTATTAAAAATGGGAGGTTTACTGCTAAACTTGGTTGTGCATCACTCTGTTGTGCCTGAAATATTTAGTATTTATGTGTTGTTCATCTGAACAGGAGGGATTGTTCCCCACACACAGTCCTGACCAGTTTGAAACCTCCAGTTATTTACTGTCCTCAGACAGAGAAACAGATGCACAGGTAACTAATAGCATTACTTTATTTTCTGTTGTACATGCATACTAAACAAAATAAAAAAATAATGTTAACTTGATCCTTTAAGAGTGGTCATTTCAGCTTGATACAATCTCAAACTGTACCTTGAATGTGATTCAGAAAATATCTACTTCCTGTCATTTAGAATTATTTTTCTATCACCTTTACAATTTTTACAGATTGTTTTTTTTAAACTTATCTTAGAAAAATGCTTTATTTTCCTCTGGTCCACAGAGGCAATGCAATGGCTATTTCTGACTGTCTGTTGACCCTTATTTAAATAATTATATTTTTATTAACCTTTTATCAGCCTTTTATGGCTCTTGTGATTAAATTGTTGGTAAACATTCACCAACTTTCCAAGCTGCCACTTGACTCAAATTCAAGTTTAACATATTTACAAAAGGAAATAAAAGATGTTAGAACTACATGCAGAAGAGTGAAAATTGAAACTTGTCCATTTAGATGTCAAAAATATCCAAAACACTGGATTATATTGTAGCACAGAAGCTGCCACTAGTGGCCTTTCTCTATCCCAGTACACATCTAAACAGAGATTTTGAACAAAAACCCTAAACATACATTTGCAACAAATCAGAATTATTTACTACGTTTTGAAGAACAATAATAGGTTCAGCAGTCCATCTACTGTATTAAAATCTTTTTAGAGTTGTTGGACTGGAACCATTTTTGACAAAATCATATCAAGTTGTTAGGATTTTACTGGAAAAAGAAAAATGTAATGTTTTGATCAAACAAAATCTTCTTCTTTCGGCTTTTCCCTCTTCAGGGGTCGCCACAGTGAGTCATCCTTCTCCATCTCTCTCTGTCCTCTACATCCTCTGTCCTCACTCCAACTACCTCCATGTCCTCTCTAACTGCATCCATAGATCTCCTCTTTGTCTTTTTCCTGGCAGCTGCATTTCTAACATCCTTCTACCAATATACCCACTGTCCCTCCTCTAGACATGTCCAAACAAAATAAAGGTTGTATATAATCTACATTAAACACATTTTGTATGCACTATATTAAGTATCTAAGGATTATTTTAATTAGTTATTTTTAATTTAATATCTTGTTTTGCACAGAAAACTGTGCAACATACACAAACACAAATCCCAAAAAGTTGGGGAATTGTGTACAGTAAACATGTCAAATGTTGAAACTAAGAAATTACAAAATTACAATGATTTAAATTAGTAATTTTCATTTTTATGGAAGCAACACATCTCAAAAAGAATTGTGATGTTTCCATTGAAAAGCCTCTTCTTTTATCAACAGTCTCTAAACATCTAACTGAGAAGAACAGCTGCTTGAGGTTTTGGAGAGGAACTTTGTTCCATTCCTGTCTCATGTAGGATTCTAGTTGTTCAACAGTCCTGGACCTTCTTAGTCTGAGTTTCTGCCAGATTAATTAAAATCTGGATAAACTTTTCTGCATTAATATATTGACTTTTGCCTTGTCTTGTGTCTACAAAGTTTCTTCCAGATTCTTGAACTCTTTTGATTATATTAAGTTATTATGAACTGTAGAGGATGGACTAGTCAAAGTCTTCCAAATGTTCTATGGAGACATTATTTTTTAAATTATTCCAGTATTTTTTATAGCTCTTTGCAAATTGATAAACCTCTACCCATTTTTACTTTAAAAAAATCAGCCTCTCAATAAATAAAGTCCCAACTTTTTTGTAAATTGGGTTGTGATATTGAATCCAAATACAGCTATTACAATACATGTACAATATTTTCACAGAATGTATAAAACTTAAATGTTCTGAAAGCTTTTTGGTGCTATAGTTTAACATTAATGTACAATATTATATTGGAGCATTTGTAGTGTTTATCTCAGATGTTAAACAGGCTTTTTAGTACACTTTATTTAAACTTATATATACTGATAAATGCAATATTATGTATTTTACATACTGTATATGTATATATTAATTTTATCATTTTAACTACTGTCCAATAATTTTCAAACAAAATGCAAACCATTGTTTTTCTCCAATATTCAGAATTTGTTGGAACTTTTTAAATGTATGTCTAATGCTCTTTTTAAATGTTGGTTCTTTTAGGTCATCCTGACGACCACAGCAGGACCTTTTCAGTTTGCAGGTGGTGTGAACGAGGTAAGGAGCTGACGTTGTTGTTTTTGCTCTCCTCTGAGATAAAAGCTGAAGTCTTGTTTCTTTGCAATACAACAAGACAACCTACTCACTAGATTTGATCAAATTTAGGGATGAGATCAAGTAAAAGCAAATTAGAAACCCATTACATTGCTTTGTGAATTACTTTTACTAAGATTACAAATTAGGACGTTGGACATGGTGAATGGCGTGAACCATTTTACATGTAATTGCAAGCCTGTATTTACTCCATGTGGTGCTTCACTTTTGAATTAATGTATTTATAGCTAAAAATAGGTCTGTCCTACTTTTACAATCAGGATCAGGTGACACTGCCCACTCCTCCAACTGCAGCAGATGAACCAGTCAAGGTATAGTTTTGTTTTAAATTCTACAAATGTATATATGTTTCTGGATATTTTCTTGCATGCCTTGGAATGCCAAGCTCTTTCATTCACACCTGAACAGAGGAAAAGGTGAGGGACAGAGGGTTTATTTAGAAAGATGAGATAAATCAGGCTTTAAATGTAAGAGGATGAGCACTTGGCTGCACTTTTTCAAACTTTTTTTTTTCTCCCTAATTCCTGAAAATTTCACCAGTGCAAAACAGTTCTATTTGGATTTATAATCACAAACCTTACTAAAGCATGACCTGGATTAAAAAAAGCACTTTTGAGCAGCATGCTTTTAGTATGATTTTAGTGAGACTCCTAAGCTTGGATGAAAGTTTAACAACTCTAACAAACGATGCAACTTTTCACAAAATGACTGAAGCAAACAATAAGAGAGTTACCTTTAATACTTTGTCTCTCTTTCTTTAAACAGGACATCTCTTAATTGTCAAGAGACTGAAACGTTAGAGTCCTAATCATTCATAAGAAAGCACTGCATGGAGAGTTTGCATAAACCGTGAAGCGTTTCTCTGACGAGGAATCCCGAACTCGACCAACATTTCACAAGGGGCGACATCTTTCCACACAGAGACAATTTCACTCACCCAAAGCCAAACAGACGGCCATCTTTTTTTAAGAGGGTCCTTTTATAAGTGACATAAACTTCATGTTTAAGTTGTGATTGTTCATATTGTGCAGCCTAGACTTTAATTTTCTGACCTTGTGAACTTCTTATTTATTTATTCCAAGGAATTTATGTAATTAACACAATTTATAACCTTTTGCTTACATGTTTTTGTCACGATTTTGGTTGAACTTTTATTTATTGAAGAAGATTTTCAACTTTCCTAAATTCTTTAGAAATTCAACAAATTGCTATGTTACTATGATCAGTTAAGAGTGATTTAGCACTTTTTTCACTGGTGAAATCTTTCGCTGTTATTTCATTGTCTATGTTTAACCTTTGTGTGCATGTATGCTCAAGTAAAAATGTTCAAATAACTTCCAAAGCAGCTCTGTGTCTTCCTTTACATTTCATTATTATTATTATTATTAGTATATTATGCACATTAATAAAACAAACAGAACATAAGAGCATATAAATACATGACTGCTGTGCTAAGCTTGCTTGTAAAGGTTTTGGGGGAACTTTACAGGTGCCTCGACCTCAAATCAGGGTGAAAAGAGGCACATCCTGGCTTGACTCCACGGTAGGTTTCACCTGGTTTTTACAAGAGAGGTTAAAGATAAATTGAAATTATTAATAAATCAACAATGACAATGGCTGACGTTATATATTTTTTTATTTTAGGTGTTTATGCCAGGCGCCCCAGGTGGAAGAAATCAGTTTAAAAATACACAAAAAGTAAGTTATTTTTTCTGGATTACAGTACCACTACTACTAGAGAAGTATTACTCTTTAAAAATCTATATTTGTAAAACATGAAAAAGCAGTTTTATGGTCACTGTGGAGCATGTATGAGAATTTCCACTTGTTTTAATTTCAGGATCAGTCCTCTGGAGCTCGAGGTTACAACAGCTGGACTGTAAGTTTATGATACACAAAACAAAACTCGAGCACACTTTTGATTACTGATTACTCACAAATAAATTGTTTTTTGTCATAAAACTTTTTTTAAGCAGCGCACAGAGCACAAAATTCCCAACCATCAAATTCATGCCAGGGGGAAGTGGAATGACAAAGAAGAAAGGATATCTAGTGATGCCAAAATAGAGACTCAGACAGATGCACCTGCCGGAGGAGAGGAGCATACTGAAGAAGACTGGGAAATGGAAGAAGAGAAGGAAGATGTAGTGACCGGTGGAGTGTTAGCAACAGACCTCGATCCAGTCTATGAGAAGGAGGAGGAGAGTGGAGACTATGACTGGGAGATTGAAGAAGATGTAGATCGTGAAAGGGAAGGGGAGGAGGAAGATTTGGAGTGGAAGAGAGAGAGGGAAAGATTGGAAATGGAGAGAGAAAGAGGGGAGCTGGAGAAGGAGAGGCAGGTCGACATGGAGATAGAGAGAGAACAACTAGAAAGAGAGAGAGAGAAAATGGAAAGGGAAAAAGACATGGAGGAGAGGACAGAGGAAGAGATAGAGAGAGACTTTGAGAGGGAGGAATGGGAGAGGAGGAGAGAGGAAATGGAGAGGGGGAAAGAGGGGGGTTACAGTGAAGAAACTGGACAGCCATATCCATATCCTCCAGATTATTTTTTTCTGAAGGTAAGGACACAAAATGAGCTGCTTCATCTTCACACACTTCTCAGTTTCATGTGAATTACAATCCCTAATATATTTTTCTCTCGGCCAATCCAAAAATATTTCAAGTCAAACCTGAAGTTTGTTGCATTTAACTCAGATGAGAAAAAGACCAGCTCACCAGGTCGTCTTTGAGGCCTTTTCTTGGTGGCAAAGAAGAAAATCAGAATTCGAGACAGATGTGGGGTTACCAAACTTTTGGGGGGGGGGGGATCATTCCTGCACCAACTAGACTTTATATGGTTCCCCTTGATGGTCCAACTAAAGACCTGCTACTCTGAGTCCTGTCTTTTCACTTCATCATTAAATACTAAAAAAAAAAATAGTTTCAGGCTTTTGTAGCAAAATGTTTGATTGATCAAAAATAAGTCAGTTAGCTTTTATGTTCAATTATCAAAAACAAAGTGACTAATATGTGTTATTAATAAATTACTTGGGCAATAAACTTATTTCTGATTACACAAATGTTACCGGAATCTGGTTAAATTAATAAAACATTCAAGATTGTACTGTTTTGAGTTGGAAAATCTGAATAATGATAAAGTAAAAATGGCCTATATCTGTGTATGCAGTGTATGCCTTATTTCAAATATTAGGTTTGTTTATCCTGTTAATTGTGCTAATATTTGCTGTTAATACACATGTTTTGTACATCAGGGGCAGCAAGGTGAAACTGGAAATCCAGGACAAAAGGTGAATAGATTTCTTTTTTTAAATATAAAAATGCAAAAAATACTTGTAAAACCATAAATGCTCAAATTGTGGACAATCTAAAAGTGCCAGTTCCTATCTTCGTATAGCCATGCTAGTCTTGATAGTAGTTTTGCATTTATTTATTTTTAAAAGCAGTAGAATTAGTTTAGTATGTGGTTAATATTAGATCAGATAGAAACTAATGTTACGTTGCAGTAATTTATGATTCTGCACTTGCATAGTTCTTCAAAATGTGTTAGCATGTTAATTATTTGTTTAAAATTAACAGGTGAATAACAGTTCCAGTTTAGCAGATGCTTACACAGTAAATTGAACAACTGAAGACATACAGTAAAATGGACATATAATAATGCTGGACTCACCATTTTGGGGTGAAAATTTTAAAAAGCAATGTGGATGTTAGCATTATTCTAGTTTAAATAACATATGCTTTCATTACTTTGACACAAAATATACTTTTCTTATTATTATCCATCTACATTAATGTAATGTTAGAATTTAAGATAAAAAATGAATTGAGTTGTTCAGCTATTTTAGTCCACACCTAAGCCACATAGAAGAAAACTGTGAATTTTCTCTTTTCCTAATTAGTGTCACTACCCAAATTGTTCAGAAGGTTAGATAAGATTGAATGAAGATAAGATTTGTAAGGCGTAAACTTATTCCCATATGATTTACTAAGTAAAGGATACAATGAGACAACAAAAGCAGTACTGTCATCATCATGAAGTGCAAAGCGAGCGTGACAGTCACTACATGAAGTGTGCCACCAGTTCATAAAAATATCATGGCTGCTGCCGCCTGTCCACAGAGCATCAGTAAATGACATCAGAGCTTCTATCCCGTCTCGCCTGTCAGTAACACCATTTGAATCCAGGCCTTTGAAGTCCCCTCTGCTCTATTTCTGTACGACTGTGAGACAGTAGATTAAAGCCAACATTAATAATTCCCCTTGTTAAACATGCTGACAAGTGCTGTTTTTTTTTTTTCAAATTCCTCTGAGTGTGCTTATTTGGGCACTGGAAAAAGATGTGTCATGGTGCACTTTATTCCTCAAACTATCTGTTTTTATGCTCGTTTCAGGGGGAAATTGGTGAAAAGGGACAAAAGGTAAACATTGATTTAGGGCTGCAGTTTAAAAAAATTATTATAAGTGGGTTCATCTTGCTTCTTTGTGTTTTTAGGGAGAGCCAGGTATTGGCCACAGAGGTCCAGAGGGTCAGGCTGGTCCTCCAGGACAGAAGGTGAAACTTTATTGTTGCTTTACTTTAAATAAAAAAAGGCAAATTACAAGCAAGAGACCGCTGACTTAGAAGTTCAGAGTAAATCTATTAATTCCTGCAGTCTTGTACACCATACACTTTGATTGACTTTGTTTTTCGTCACAGTTTAATTAAGAGGATTTAATTGGCCCAGTGACTCACTCCCTCATTTAAAGTTGCATTTGAGCTTTTAATTTGATTAAAATATATTATTCTGTTGTAATTCAAATGTAATAAAGTAGCTAGATGACAACATTACATGGGACATGTTGTCTGTATTGTATGTGTATCATGCCTCAGGGTGAGCCAGGTGAACCAGGTCCTCCAGGTGCTCAGGGCATCCAGGGTATCCATGGTAATGTGGGCATCCAGGGCTCCCCAGGACTCAGGGGACCCCCAGGAGACCCTGGAGAACCGGGTAGAGAGGTAATCTTCAATAGGCTCTTGAGTGATATTTTATATAAAGTTAAATAAAACTGTAAAATAAGTTATATGCTGCTGCATATTTGTAAAAGAGAAACATACTAAATGATAAAAACAAGAGATGTATGTTGTGTTGATGTAGGGGGAACGGGGTAAAAAAGGAAAGAATGGATCACAAGGAGCTACTGGACCTCGAGGTCCACCAGGACCTGATGTATGAATTAATTTTATTATTGTTTTATTTATGTTCTGTGGAGTTTCTACCCTAAAACGAATATTTCACTCTTGTTGCATGATTAAATTTGATTTATTGTTGACAAAAACTTCTGTTGACCACGTTTTCTTTAAAGGGTCTTCCTGGGGCGCCTGGAGTAAAAGGAGAAAAGGTGACGAGATTAATTTGTTGTCACACTTCCTCTTGTCCTGCTGACAACACACTCCTGTTTTATTATTTGTCATTATTATTTACCTGTTGCGTTTTTCGTCTGAGTGTTTTAGGAAATAAAAATGTACCAAATGAACAAAAACGTGTCTTATTTTGCCAAACCTTTTATTAGGGTGACAGTATTCCAGGTCAGCCTGGTGCTCGGGGGGTGCCTGGCCCCTCAGGGAGACAGGTGAGCTCAGTTTGTGTTAAATTAAAGCAGTTTAACTCACATGCAGTTTTATTTCATATTAATACAGTTAAGCATAAAATTGTCTCTTTCAGGGTGAAAAAGGCTCCCCGGGTGTTAAAGGAGCTCCTGGTCCTGTTGTGAGCAACTTTTTAAAGAGTTACAGTTTAATAAAATATTTCATGTATAGATGTCAGATTTTTACTTTTACTTTTTTTTTTTTTTAACCAAGGGTCCAAAAGGTATATATGGCAGCAAAGGTGAAAAGGTGAGTTTGCATTTTACATGAAATGTCAAACCATATTTATGTTGACAGCTTTAATTGTATTGTTTTATCTGCTTTGCCCTGCAAATATTTCATAGTGGTTGTTTCAAAATAATAAACTCAGGGAAGGATAAGATCCGAAACACAAACAATCCATATATATCCATATGCTGGAATATGCTTTAGTTCATATTTTAGGTCATTTCCAATAGCATATTTTTACAATAACCTGAGAAAAACAATCGTTATTTAAAAGCATGAAAAGAAGTACTACAAAATGAACTGTTGGAAGCAACATAAATTTGCCAATAAACACCTTTAAATTCTTAATTATGAAAATGCGAACCAAGAGATGCATAACTAAACAACAGATAAACAGGTGGAGCCAAGATTCTGAACAAAATGTATAAAAACACTGTTACAGCCATATCGTCTTAAAAGTATGTTTTAATAAGTTAATCTTATTTACTTGTACTTGAAACTATAAATGTTGATTCCTTATTAATTAATTATAAAGATAATTTTAGAACAAAACAATCTAAAACATTTAGTTGTAGAGCAAAACCTTATTCTTGTTAATAAAGTTGAAGCCATTGAGACTATGAGTCCCCCCCCCACACACACACACAAACACAGCCCTTCAAATCTTTACTGCAACTGAACACATACCGTACTTTACCCCATACACGTCGCACCACTGTATAAGTCGCATCAGTCCAAATATGTCTAATGAAGTGGAAAAAACATAAATATGTTACTTGACCGTATACGTTGCATCTATTATGCGTCACCGCTGACAACCCGGAAATGTGGGTCGGTGTTGTGCCAAAAATTGATTGGCTACCAAATGGCAGCAGCGGGAGCGTTCACGGGAGGACTTTGACAAGAATTGAACAAGATTAACACTTAATAACAATTATTTGTTTGCTCGAAATTATAACAAAGGTGTGTCTCAGTTTAACTTGTTCTTAATAAATGCACTTTAATGTTCAAATCAGCTGCATTTCACCTGGGCGGCGCAGTGAAATGCAGCTGATTTGACGTTTGCTCCAGGACTTCTGGAGTGAGACGAAGGTGGCTTGGTATGGCAAGCCAAATGTTTTAATAATAACCACTTTTATCTATTAATGAGACATTTGGCTTGCCATATAACTCGAGGGCCCTCTAGCGGCGAGTGTTCAATATTTTCCATGGCAGAATGAATGAAATCATCAGCTAAAAATTGGGTTATAAATATGGGGGAGGGGGGGAACATAAATAAGTCACTTTGCTGTATAAGTCGCAGGGCATGCTAATTTATGCAAAAAGGTATGACTTATACAGCAAAAAGTACAGTAATAAAATTCTACAAATAACAAAAATGCCAACATTTTTACTTGCTGTTGTGAATTTGGCACAAAGAAAATCACACTATTTTTTATTACTTCATATTTTTCTCCACTCAAATCACATTTTTATGTACTAAAAGTTGCTCAAAATACTCAGAATTCTGTTATAGAGATATATACATACAAAATAGAGATACATTTCTCCATCATTTTCAGGGATCAATTGAAGTTCAGGTTGTTGTTTTTTGGAAGGATGTTGTATTGCTTTCACTCTGTATTTGTCTCATCTCGGCTAAAGTGTCTCAGTTGAGGTGTTGACTGAGTTCTTGACACTTATTCCTGTCAAACACCTCCAAACCCCAGTCAGGTTGAGCTCCAAACCTGTGAGTTATAGATTTTATTAGACATGATCATACTGTTATGAACTGCTGCAACAGCATGCAGCCAAAAGATATGAAGTAACTGGTGTTGACATGAAAGAGTAAAAAAATATATTTTTTAAGTAGTAAAATTTGCAATTTTGTTTGATTTCTTTTTCTCCCCAACAGGGTGATCATGGCTTACCTGGAGTCAGAGGGGAAAGGGTAAGGTGACAGAGTATTTAGACGTTTATGCTTTATTTGTACTTTTTCAGATAAATTTTAACAGATATTTTTGTGTCACACAAAACAAACAAGAAAGTATGATGATGTGCTCCTCTGTTTTGGTGCGTGTGTTTTGAAATGAAAATTAGATTCTCTCCTGCAGGGGAGTGTGCTTCAGATTCAAGGACCTCGTGGTTTCAAGGGCTCCAAAGGCGAGGCGGTAAGATCCTTTTCAATTTACTGTCAATTTTTCTGTCACACAGCAAATACGCTTTTTTGAAGTAGTTGTTTAGAGCATTCAGTTTATTTCTTAGCACTGTGAGAGGAAAGTATCCCTTTTATAACCAGTGTCCAGATCAACACACAAAAGATCAAAAGATGAAAACTGAACCACTCTTAATGGCAAAGCTCAAGCAGTGAATGACTAGGTTTATACAGCTATTAAATCTAGAAATATATTTGTAAATGTTTCATTTTCATTTGTACTACATCCCAGTCAAATCTTAAAGGGCATTCGTAAATAGTTTAGCATATGTACCATATTTTCCGGCATATAAGTCGCTCCAGAGTATGTTGCATCAGTCAAATAAAGCATCAAGAAGAGGAAAAAAAACTTATATAAGTCACTTTGGCGTATAAGTTGCATTTATTATGTATCACCGCTGACCCGTCACATTTATTATGCGTTTATTTAACGGTCAAGGCAGCGTCATCCATCCGTCGTGGCTGGAGCCGTTAGGTTTCCAGCGTTCCTCCGCCTGCACCAGCTGAGTGAAGTGAGTGCACACAGGAGGACTCGCTGTTGTAGTTCTTCGAAATTTAAAGCGTCGGTCAAAAATTGTGTTATGAATATGGAAAAAAAACGATATAAGTCGCTTCGGCGTATAAGTCGCAGGACTGACAAATCTATGCAAAAAAACTGTGACTTATACGCCGGAAAATACGGTATATGAAATATAGATGAGCCCAGTCATTTCCTGTCTAGTATTTGAACATTTTCAAAGTAAAAGACTCCTAAACTCAAGAGCTGAACCAGTGTTGTCGGCACATAACAGAGACGTTCAAGCTCTTTATTTCAGCATTCTGTCACAAAGACACAATTTGTTCCCATTTTTTTAGTTTAATCTGTGAAAAATATTAAAGATAATACAGTTTGACGTAGTGTAGCACAAACAAGGTGATTCTCAAAGAGCTGTTGGCTGAAAACTGGACATCCAGGAATGATCAGCTCGTCACTCCATTCCTGTCAGATTTTTGCCAGATTATTTCCCATTTTATTAAAAACATGCAGTTCAGGTACTTTTAATCTGAAATAGGTAGTTTGTTTTAGTACTGATGTTTCTTGTTTTGTTTTTTTTCACTTACACCTTATTTATCCAGGTAGTCTCATTGAGCCACGAGAACTCATTTTCAAGAGAGACCTGTTTAGGGAGCAGATGGGGGTTAAGGGCCTTGCTCTTGGCCCCAGGGTGGGGCAAATAAGGATGGGGGCAAGTGTGGGTGCTTCACCTACCCCACCCACAATTTTGATGTTGTCTGGGCCGGGGCGTGAACCGGCAATCTTTGGATCACAGGCCCACCTCTCTAACCTCTGAGCCACCACTCCCCCAAGTTTAGTTTAGTTCACTTACTCACCTTTTCATATTTATTTTATTTTATTTTATTTATTTATTTTGCCAAAAACTGCATAACGTGGACATGGTTGGACAAACAGACTGAACAAAACATAGCCAAAGTTCAAAAGAAAAAGTAAAAAAAATAAATAAAAGAAACCTTCAGGAATCCTGGTAAGCTATTGATCGTGTCCACTTTCTTGCAAAAGCTTATTTTTACTATCTAAAAAAGTTAAATCTGGTCCTCTGGACATTCAAAAAAACAAAACAAAGAAAATCAACAAACAAATGTAGAAATGTTTCGTCTCTCTTATTTTTACTACTTTGTATGGTTTAATTAGATTTACTGAACATTTTAATATAATTATGAAGGTTGTTTTTTTCAAGGATTCTATACGTTAGAGGGATAACTTATTAAATTCAGTAGTTTTGTCCATCACATACATGCTTTAAGTGTTAGTGCATGACCTTTGTTTTGGATTAAATGTCTTCATAGTACCTTTTACTTGACTGAAGTCTCTCATCATCTTTGAATAATTTGATGGAGAAAGAAATTGGGACTTTATAAAATATGTTTTTAATTTTTCGACCGTATTTGTGGTATAAAAACTTTCACAGCTTAGACCTGTTGGTGTTGCTTTCACTGAAGTTATTGATGGGTTCATTCTTTGCTTCTGTACGTTTGATCCAACTTTTGTCAGCTCCTGTTTAATCCTGCTAGCAAAAAATAAATAAATAAAAAATAGATGAATAAAACAAAAAAAACATATGACTGAATTAAGAGTGATATCTTTAAAGCAAAGACGGTTATTGTGAGTACGTTTTGTTTCAGGGAGAGCGAGGTTTCCCGGGTTTTGATGGGGATAAAGGAGAGAAGGGAGAAGATGGTCCTCCTGGAGTGAAGGTAATATACGTATGTTTTAAATGTTTAAAAAGAAAAAAAAAAGAGATTTTTTAAATATATATATATCTGTGCATTTCTTTTAAAAAACTGCATTTAAAGATGCATACCCAAGTTGCCCCCATTGGTCAAATTATGCAGAGTGTTTTCAATATTTGTAGGGTGTAAAGGGTGATGCAGGCACTAAGGGTGCAATGGGACGGTTTGGAGCACGAGGACCAGTTGGCCAGAAGGTAGACTAGAAATCCTGCAGCTTTTGTTTCAATGTGTTTTACTTTTTGACATCACTTTACGTGAGATTGTTGTGATGATCTACAGGGGGATCCTGGAGAGCCAGGTCTGAATGGAGTGATGGTAAAGCAACATGTGAACATTTATCCTTTTTTTTAAATCTAATTTGAAGCCAATACTGTGCCTTGAATTTGAGGTGGAAACTAAAATACTGCAGCTTGGTTTGATTTTAGGGACGCGATGGAGAACATGGGAAGGATGGAGACAAAGGAGATAAAGGAGATGATGGACTTCATGGCCTGAAGGGTGACCAGGTACACGGGAAAACAGTCCGGCTTCTAACCATCAAATTGATTTACCGTTATATTAAGTGTGAGAGTAAGATTGGTTTTGTTTGTTCTTCATTTTATTTGATGTCCTTTCACAGGGGGATCCAGGCGAATCTGGCTTACCAGGAGAAAAAGGAGAGAAAGGAGAAAAGGTGGAGGAATTATTATTTCTTCCACTTGTTCCACTGGTGGTCAGCCATCTGCCTTGTTGTTGTTATTTTTAAGTAAACAAATGTGTTGGTTGTATTTTCAGGGTTTCAGAGGTTTTCCTGGACGCGTTGGAACTTCTGGTCTAGATGGAGAAAAGGTTAGCTTTCAGTTAGATGTCTATAAATAAATAATAGTCAGTTAAATTATAACAGTGATGTCTACAAAGACTTTAGCTACACTGTATGTTTGAAACAGGGAGACTCAGGTTTACCTGGGAGCTCCGGTATACCCGGACTGAATGGACTCACAGGACGCAAGGTAAAAACACACACATTTATTTTTTATGTCATCTCTAAACACAGAGAGATGCCTTTGTGTTTTTCTAATGTATAACTTTAGGGTGATAAAGGAGAAGGGGGAACCAATGGCAGTGATGGTGTACCAGGAGAGAAAGGAGAAAAGGTTGTGAAGTTAATTTGTTTTTCAATTAATCTTGTATTTAAATAATGTAATAAACTTTTAGATGTTGATTATGTTAAAGAACAATAAATATTTTATCCTCCATTGCTTTTTTCTGTCTTAACTCAGGGTGCAGCTGGTTTCTCAGGTTTTCCAGGATTTAAGGGATCAGCTGGAAGTCCAGGGAGAGATGGAGATGAAGGACCACTAGGACCATTGGGACCTCAAGGGGACCCGGGTCCCAAGGTACTTTATGGTTGTTGTGTGGCTGTCTGCTTTGTGTTTCTTTTGCATGAACACATAATTCAAAAAATAAAAATGTTTTCAGTCTTCAGCAGTCAGAAACCCTCCTCTGTCAAACTGAAGCTTTGACTTTTATCCAGGAACCATTTCACCACCTCTCGCGCTCTGTTCCTAAATCACAGCCACTGAATCAACCAATGGAGTTCCACTGGTAAACCTGAAACCCAACATTCACCTGAGACTTTTTCTTGTGCTTTGGTGGGCTCGCCACACATTGAGTCAACATTTACATTAAAAAATGTTCTTTTGGTCATTTATTTGTTTCTTAGGTGTGACCACGAAAACTGGCTTTAAGGATCAGTACCATTTTTAGCTACTCAGAATCAGAATCAGCTTAATTGTCATTGCACCGAATCACAACGAAATTGCATTTCAGTACAGCCCATCCAAGTAAAACATAAGCAAACAGACATGGGGAGGACGGAGGGGTCTGAGGCCACAGCCCCATGGGAGGTGCAGTCTTTTTTGTTTAGATAGGAAAAGAGAAACACAGGGGGAAGGGGAGGTATTTTAAAAAAATCATATCTCACACTGAGTCCTAGACAGGACACAATGTGAAAGTTGCAAAAAAAAAGAGCACAGAAACAAGAAACATACTGATGACATCATGATACATACTGTATATGCATGAGGAAGGACGACAGAGGTGGTGAGTTTGACCGTGGACAATGCCAGATAGTCCCCAGTCCTGGTAAGAGATGATGCAGTGTCTATCAGCTGACTCAGCTCTGATACAGGCCCAGAGATCACCTCAGGAAGGGAGCAGGTATAGGGGAGGGGTGGAGCAGAGCTTCTTGTTCACATAATATCCAGGAGAGTTTGGGATGGTTGGCCAATTCAAGGCCAACACGGGGGAGCCAGTTTCAGATAACAACAGTTTTTTGGGTCAGGCTGACTCTGCTTGATTTCTTTCTGCCTTATAGTTCTACTGGTATGTCTCAATGTCGACTCCAAATAGCCAAATTTTGTGATCCACACCGCCGGGCCGAGCTTGTAGCTTCTCCAAGGTCAATTCCTTCTTGCCAGCGAGTTTCAGGAGCCGCAAGTGGCCAGAGATTCTCAGCAATCGCGTCCAACTTACGACTCAGCTCACACAGCATCTGAGTCTGAGTGCTCGCCACTCGGCACATTCCTTCACACAAGCCAGGCAGTCTTACAATGGCCAGAACAGCTGCTGACGTTTTCCATTTTTGTTGATATGCCAGGTAATCGCCAACTCCAAAGAGCAGAAGTCATGCTATCATAAATCCAATTATATACGCATCTTCCACATCCTTAATGGACAATACGGACATGCACATGATCTTCCACTGCCCCCAGGAATCCATCGTGTATCCAGCTACAAGTGTCCTATCAGGGCAAGAAGGCTCTCTTTCGCCCTGTCTTCTCATTAAGAAAAATGTATCAATTGCATTGAGAGACCAGCTGACCAGATCCATAATTTACAATTCGGAAGATATGTAAAGAGAAGCTCCGATAGGGTTCACAAGACAAAGAGCAAAGCAGGAGGGCAGCAGGAGCGGGAGGGAGCGTCCGCCTTCGTCAAGAGCCAGCAGGAATACATATAGACTATAATAATACTATAATATATGAACTACCTTCACACATTTTCACAACTATTTATTTTATTTCACATGAAAAACACAATAAGAAGCGACTGAAAATGCATGACGAGGATGAGCGCAGCTTGATTACAGTCATTGTGTCTTTGTGGGAGAGTGGCAGCAGCAGAGACAGCAGAGACATGTCCCCAATTAACATGCACACACACAGAAGTCTATTTCTGCCTACAGCTTTCAAGTAATATCTTACTCAATTACATCCTTTCAGCCACAATTACCAGACTTTCTGTGGTAACAGAGAGTGGCTTGAAACCACTAATGAGGATATTCCAAGGATGCATCTATTTAATCTGTCTTTCAGATTATTTAAAAGGTACAGATTTGACATCCTGTCATGGATTTGTCTTTGTGGGCACAGAGAACTTGTCTTAAGAGATTTATTTTTCTTTGTGTGCTTTTCTTAAACAGGGTGAAAGGGGCAGAAGAGGCAGATCGAAGCTGTGTCCGAAGGGAACACCAGGGACACCTGGACATCGAGGAGAGAGTGTGAGATATATTTATGAACACTCTTTCTTGTATCACTTGCAAATCTGCCATCAGTCAACGTTTTAGCTCCTCTTTAGTTTGAGCTCCAGAACCAAAGTAAAAACTGGTTAGATTGCTTTATTGTTATTTATTATTATTTAAATAAAAAACTGATGAAAGTTCAGACTCTGGATATTTTGAGCACTTAAGGTCTGCTGTGTCATTTTTCATGCAGACGTCTGTCATGATTCTCGACGTTTTGTCTTTGGGAGGTTATGTTTTATTGCGCTGGTTGTTTTTCAGCCATACTTTTCCTAGTTTTATTTTGAGATTCTCTGTGTTCATCTTGTTTTCTGTTACTTTGTTCCTCCCCGAGTCATTATCTGTAGTTCCCTCAGTCAGCCTTGCCTTCAATTTATCATTCACACCAATCTGCCCTCTAGCTTCAGCTGCACTCAATCACTAATCACTTTTCTCAACAGATTTATCCTCCCAGTTCTCATTCAGCTATTGTTCATCACATTGTTTGACGTTTTTTATTCCTTGTTTCTGGTTTTGCCAAGTGCGTAACTTTTGTATTGGTAAGTTTGCTGCTCTGTCAGCTGTTTATTTTATTAAAGTTGTACCAGGCAATATTACTGCCTGTGTGTCTGCATCTTGGATCCTTGGAGCAACACATTTTCTGACAAAATCCGGGATTTTTCCACAACTTTATTCCCAAATTATTGTCACTAATTTACATAAATAAGAAGTGCATATGTGAATAAGAGGACTAACATCATCAGAAGGGCCTTAAGCAGAGAAATCATAATTTTGATCATATCCTCTTACAAACTCCCCATGGGCTGCTTAACCTAATTTTTTATCATCATTTTAAGTCTTAGTAAAATGAGTGAGTTAGTGGTTTCTGTGAATGAGTAGGCAGAGATGACAGATCCTTCTAATACTGTTGCGACTTTCAACATACTTGTTTTTAATGGTTAAAACAGCAATTCCTCACAAAACGATAGACATTGTGCATTTTTGTGAGTAATACATCAGTATTGGTGTGTCATGTTTGCTCGTACAGTCCTTTGGTTCATAAGAAAAAACAGTAAACCATCAAAATAGACTGTAAATATATACATATATGAATATTAGTCTTTATTTTTATTTCTCAAGGGTTCAGTGGGTGTTGAAGGATCAAAGGGAGACAAAGGAGAACCTGGGCTCTCGGTACGTCCGTATTATAATGACTCATTAAAAAATTTTAAACGGTAAATTAGTTAAAGACTAGCTGGTCTCTTAAATATTGTTTTCCTCTGTGTGAAGGCAGAAGAAGTGAAGGAGCTCGTGACTCAGGAGGTGGTAGAAAAGTGTGGTAAGAGTGTGCACACATCGACTGTACAGCACAGTTTGGATCCTGGAGAGTGTCTGTGTGCGAATAAACATGTGTTTCTAAAAAGGCCTGCATATTGTAAGTATGTGTGTGTGTGTCTATGTGTGTGTGTAGCATGTGGCTATTTGTTGTAGAGCTCCTGTGGCAGCAGCATGGCACCCATGTGTGTTGAGCCATCTGTTATGTTCTCTCTGAGGAACACACACCATGGTGCCAGCAACAGTAAAGCCATTCACAAACACGAGCGTGCAATTAGGAGGGACGCCTTCCTACAAATCCACGCACGTACAAAAACACATGAAACACATCTTTTCCACAGGGGACGTTTTAATTTGACCTAATATGAAAATGTGTACACATAAAAACTTCATTTCTAACAACCTTCACACTTTAAAGTGCCCTTAGACTAAAGTTCATTAAATCCTGCTTTTCATCACAGCAACAGCTTTTAACTGAAATAATAAATAGGTCAATTCTGTGCAGTTTTATTAAGTACATTTATACGACAACATAATAAAGAGTCCAATGCGTGATGTGTGAATGTGAAATGTCAAGTGTTTGTGTTGGTGCTGTTTCAAGTTCAAAACTGGTCAAAATGGAGGTAAAATGTCCTAACTTAGCCATAATTATTGTAAATAAGATTGTGTTTTTAATCTTCAAAGTTCAATGAAATACATGTAAATTGGCTTCAGTTGTTGTTCTAAAGGTTTTATACCATCAGGTCAAACCTTTTTTTAAGATAATTGTATAATAATTGGACAGTTATGAATATTCACCATGACAAATCTGTTTTAGTTTCTGTGTAATAAGCATAAATCTGAACTTCAAAGTGAAGCACTTGTTTCTGTTTATTTCATAACAATATGTAACATTATATGTGTGACAAAGATTTGAGCTAAACCAGAACATTTCACGATTTCTCACTATCATTCACAAGTTTTCCTTTTCCTATTACAGCTGTTAAACTATAGTTCAGTGATGTGACTTTTTTACTGACTTTTTGAGGTTAAAGAAAATTTAAATTTGTGACTGGTGTTTGTGTAACTCAGACTCTGTCTTTTATTTTATTTTATTTTATTTTTGCAGGATTGGAATACAAGTTTATGGTAAAGTCTGTGGATCCAGATGCAACATCTGCAATCACAAAAAGTAAAAATAATCTGGAGGATGCAGTATTTTCCATCACCAGTGATCTTCATGAGGAAGAGAAACACAAAGCGAAAATATACAGAGACACTTTTAGAGAAATAGGTCCTTCTATGAAGCTTACAGAAGAAAAGAAGTTGCCAAACTCTACTGGTAAGGACTGAAATACACAAATAAATCAGTGTTAACAGCTTCGTAGCTCCAGGCCAAACACACAGAGTGTGGCCAAATGTGAGGCTAAACAACCCCATAGCTGAAACTTATGTGGAGCAGATGAAAAGTCCAGTTTATGGTTTTGTTGTGTGAGATGATGACCGTGCAAACATCACTTAAACAGTTTAGACTTAAAGTGTCCAAAGGTAATGATGGCACTTCTGAATTTATAAAACTGAAAGTGTCTTATCAAAATTTACTGAAACAAATCCCAACAAAACTATGGATGCAATAACTAGGGTTAAAACACAATTTGTTTTTATCATACCATGGAGTAAATTTAAAATATGCTCAAATCAAGTCCATCAAAGCATGTTTGATGTCAGTCGTGACCATCTCTCATATTTCTGAATTCATCTTTACACACCTAAATACTAAAAAAGTAAAAAGTAAATAAAAAAATAAACAACATTTGAATTATAAATACAGTTTTGTTGTCTCTAAAAATGCAGTAGAAAGTTAAACCTTATTAGTGAATGTAGCTGCAGGCAGAAATCATTTTCTGAATCTGAAGCTATTTGTAATTCTTGCTTCAGGAAAATAAACCAGACAGCTAATCAAAGCCTGAGGCTGCCATTGCTCAGTGTCAACGCCAGCCGGTATAATAAGAGTTACAGCTGTCCGTCATTTCAGTCTAATATTTACTCATGAATTTGGAGAAATCAAAAGAATTAAATAAAACGGTTCTGCAGGGTTTTTTTAATAGATCTGTGGTTTTACAGCACGGGAAGTGGCATGCGTAGTGATGCACAGATTAAATATCCTCACTTTTCATGTGGATGCATTTCAAAAAGTTCACCTTGAGGCAAAGATGCTGGGCTGAGGAGCACAAGAGTCATTTGTGTAACAGCAGAAAATCAAAGGTTTTAAATCACCCATGAAAAATAACTAATGAAATGACTTTGACTGAGGCAAAAACATTGCCTTCATTTCTAATGTTTGATTTTCACGCTTTATTTACAGTTAATTTTAACCTTTTTAGGACCTCTTGAGTTTCTTTATGTTTTGAGTCATGTCTCTATTTAATATTCACTTTAGTGTTTTTGTTTTTATGTATTTAACAAATTTCTATTTTCAAGATTTGTGGCTTTAAGGTTACATTTTATACATGAATCATCTACGCAGCATGGATTTCACCTAATAAGGTTTTTGTTTATGGTCTGATATTAATGGCAGTCTAATTTTGTTATGTTTAATGTTTAGATCACCGTTATATTTATTGCCCTTCACCAAACGGTGTTTGTGTGTAATGTTGAAAGTAAGCATTGGAGATACCGTATTTTTCAGACTATAAGGTGCACTTAAAATCCTTTAATTTTCTCAAAAATCAACAGAGTTTTATAATCCGGTGCACCTTATGTATGAATTCTGGTTGTGCTTACTGACCTCGAACCGATTTTATGTGGTTATTGTGAATGAGTTGAATAAAGTTTGACGTATCTGTTTTGTTTCGCTGAATGCACCTTATAATCAGGTGCAGCTTATTGTCTGAAAAATATGGTATTTTATTACCTGCTGGAGCTAACTCAAGTTAAAATGGCCGCCACAGCGAACTGACAATAATAAACATAACAAATGGCCGCCAGTCAATCAATTTTATAGATATTGAGTTAAAGTTTGGTGTGTTTCTAGCTGAGAGTTGCTCCAAGAACAACTAATTGCTCATGACGTTCGCATTAACCGTTGGAGTCAACTCTGTTTGTCTGTTAGCAAAATAATTCAAGAACCACTTAACAGTTTAAAGTTTGAAAATGAATGAACTGATGCTCCACAACACTCGAATGCATTCAAATGAGCCAAAACTGCTGCCGGCACTCATTAAGTCCTCTCTGGTCCAGTGAGAGAGAATATTTCTTGTTCTTTTGAAGGCCGAGTCCAGAAAAAGTCCGACTTCTGATGGACTTTATTTCTGTCTTTAGAGTCTCATGAGGGAGGAACTGTGGCATGGACAGAGAGGAGGAAAAGAAGGGTGTTTGGAACAAAGGATGCTGGTGAGTGGCCAAGACAACAGATTTTCTTCTTTTCTTTATTTCCCTTGACTACACGCTCAGTGTTTTTTCCTTTACTTGTTTAAATATCATTTATGAGTAACGAGCTGAAATAATAAAGTAGGAGGAGAACAAAAATGAGACCACTTTTTTAAAGATCGAGCTTAAAATAATTTCTTATATTACCAGGTGGTGATGAAATAATAAAAGTCCACAACTTGTGTTGATGGCTTATTTACCTTACTTGTTTTAATGGCAGAGCGCTGTTCGGAGCTGATGTCAGAAGGATCCTGTTCAGACTACGTCCTGCTCTGGTACTTCCATGTCCAGTCGGGGGAATGCCGGCCGTTTGTGTACGGAGGCTGTGGCGGCAACCGAAACCAGTTCACTTCTAAACAGGAGTGCCAAAGTTGTTGTGTGATGGAGAGCGGAGCAGCAGGAAACCCTTCAGATCACACGGGGGACGTACTGTCCCACAGCTGATGCAGCCGCATGGTTTTCCTTCAACAATGTGAAAACAGTACAGATGTGGAAATTGCCAGAACTGTTCTTTCACAGTGAGCAAACATTAAAAAATGAAGCCTACATGATGCTGAACTGTGTACATAACTAAGTATAATGTTAGTTTTGTATTTTGCATTGCCTTTATTTATGCTAATGTTGTTTTTACTGTAAAACTGTGGTTTTCTACTGATTTACTGAAACATTTACAGTCATGGGGAAAAGGGACGTCCACTCTCTTTCAGTGTATTATGAGCTGATCTTTGCCAAGTTATAAAATTATTTACATCTTGTAATGAGTGTACAAAAACACAACAGATTCCATCATGTCATTTTACTGTAAACAAACTGTAAAAAACTTAAGTCCACCAATGATTCAACAACTTTTGCAACCTGCTGTACCGTGAAGTAGTGAGTTTATACATATGACTTTATCGGTCACGTTGTTGTGGAGGACCTACGCTTCTTTTTAACGTTGCTTCGGTTCTTTGAGGTTTGTAGACGTTCATTTCTGCACAGCCCATCGCAAAATTTTAACCAGGTTGAGGTCTGGAACCAGTATACACTGTCAGTTCTTTTTTCTTTCTCAGCCATTTGGTTATAGATGTAGTTGCTCATTTGGGATCATTGTCTTGTTGCATTATTTGGTTTTAGCAGAGCTGTCCATGGTTGAGACACACCACAGCTTAGTGGTTAGCACTGTTGCTTCACAGCAAGAGGGTCCTGGGTTTGACCCCCAGTTTGGACCTGGGGTCTTCCTGTATGTTCTCCTTGTGTTGTTTTCCCCAGGTGCTCTGGTTTCCTCCCACAAGCTGCCTTCAGGTCCAGGCTCTTGCAGAAGAGATTTGTGATTGCAATGGGAATTTCTTGGTAAAAAGATATTAATAAAATAAATATAATGGTTGACTCAATGGCTGCAAAGTGTCATGGCCTCAAAACAAGCAGTTAGTCCAGATATACTGCTTAGCTCTGCACATTATGGGCAAACATCTCTACCTTGGTGTCATCTGTCCAACAGACATTGTCCCAGAAGTGTTTCAGATGCATCTAGTTTCCTCTCAACATTGCGCCCTGACATCAGGGTGAATTTGCTGCAACATCCGCGCTTTGGAAAATTGTCAAATGTCCTGAAGGTCCTCCACTTGTGAATATCATTTCTCTGTGCAGAACGGTAGACTAAATTATTTGGATATGACCTTTAACACTTGCCAGATTGATGGGCAGCAACGTTGCTTCTCTAAGGTCATTGCTGATGTCTTTCCTGCCTGGTGTTGTGCTAACACACACCTGTATGCTCCAGAGCAGCTGAACTCCTGCTTTTCTGAATGTCAACACACTGATGGTCTGATCAGTAACAAGAGTGGGCTTAGTTTTCCTAATTTTCTTGTTGTTTTTTTTAGTTTAATAGAAAATAACCGTGTGGAATCTGCTGTTTTTGTAGCTTGAGGTTAGATTTGAATCATTTCAGATCTTGGTAAAGACCAAATAAGGGTGGACTGTTTTTTTTTTCTCATGACATAAGTTTGTAATGTTTTAATCACCCTTTAGAAATTTTTTAATGTCATCATGTAATGCTACTGAAAAATTAAATATTGTTTGTGATTTTTCCCCCCCCCCATTGTTTACTTTTGCCCCATAAGTTAACTTCAACATATTTATTTTATTGCCCTACAATCTGAGAATAAGAACAAAGCAGGTGGCCCTGTTGCCACTGTCATCGCCACATATGTTCCTGTGGTGGGGGGTGTTACGGTCAGGCTGGAAGCCAGACGAGAGGCCAACGGGGACTCAGTCACCCTCCATCAGACCTGCTCAGCAGTGGTAGGGGATTCCAGTGGGTGCTCATATGGAGGCAGCACGATCTGAATGCAGGTTTTTTTTTTTTTTTTTACTATTAAAAACAGAAAAGCAAGTTAATCCCAGGAAATGCCGTAAGTGGAAATTTAAAAAATGGTTTCAGATCTCATATTGGCAACTTTCTAATTTAGATCTCACAGGTACATTCTTGAAAAATGTCATCTGAATCTGACGGAGGAGTCTCATATGAACAAGCCTCCTGTGGCTATCTTCATATGAGTCACGATGCTGCACAGTAATGCACTCCCACGTGAGAGGACGCCTCATAAATCTGTAAGAATTACTTTTTACGCACTTCATATGAGCTTTGAGAGAAGTTGAAGTTGTTAATAACGCTTTCAAACCTACAATTATGCATGAGATATTCTACTTTTTTTTTCAAGGCTTATTAAGTAATGTTGAGCTTTGTGAGAGACTGGCTTCTAACCATTAACTCTCCTTCTTCTTTTGGCTTTTCCTTCTTTAGGTGTCGCCACAACCAGTCAAATATGTACGCTATATGATTAGACATGAATCGTATCTATCCAGAAATTGACTTTTGTAGTTCTCATTACTTGGAAAATGGACAATTTTATTTTACTAGATTTTTACTAAACTGCCTTTTTTACTTAATGAAACAAACTGGTCAGAAATCAGCTATAAAGACCCAACATCAAAACCCATTATCAAACTGGTCAAGTGTTTTTGTCTGAGGTGAGTAAAAACCCTTGACGGTGTCCAAATGAGTTCAAAATTCAAATAATGTTTTGTCAATTTAATAATAGTGAAGAGAGTTGTGTCATTTCGGGAAAGCATCTAGTTTTATTTTTTCTCCAACATTTCATTCACTGTGTGACACACCAGTACAAAAACATAATACTCCCACCACCGTGCTTCACAGCTGGTACAGTGTTCTTGCATTTGAAAGCATAACTTTTACTCCTCCATATGTATTTATTGTCACTGGGGACAAATATCTGAGTCTTTGTCTTGTCTGGACGTCAAAGATGTCTCCAGAAGACTGTCCGTGTTCACGCTGGAGCAGCGGTGACTTCATGGATAGAAAGTAACTTCACTGGAGTTAGAACAGTTTCCTGTTCATGGTAGACTTGGTGTTTCCTGGGTTGTTCCAACTGGTGCTGTCAAATGCTGGTGAAGAGCTACAGTTACTCATGATCACTAATGAGCACTGACTAGTCCTGGTTACATGAAGATTCTGGGACCTTCAGCATCACAGTCATTAGAAGGTTTAATGGATATTAGCCTGTAGCAATTTGGTCCAGTGGATTAGAAAAAAAATCACAATAAAATCCACATTGTGTGCTCAAATCCTGTTCTTAAAGCTAATTAAAGCTGTCTGTTGTTCAATCATTCCAGCCTGGAAGAACTGTTCAAATAAATCATTAATAGTGCCTGAAATAATTTGTGCTCGTAATGAATGGGCGTAAACTTCTGACTGCAGATGGAGATTATTTTGTTTAATTCTCCCATCGTTACCTCCATTTTTACACCTTGTTTGCTGTCACCACACATCCAGTCACTATTGCATCCATCATCAGGTTGTTTAATGCTTCTTGCTTTAATCTCATGAACTAAAATGTTTACATTTCTTTTAGTTTGGGAAAAAATTCTCATTTTTTTCTCTCTGAACTTGACGTTTGACTGAAGAAACCTGTAAAACCACTGCTTTAGAAGTGATCAACTAAAAATAGATGTGAGTGAAAAATGTTCAATCGAGCTGAGTGAGAAGCAGAAAACAAAATTGTAAAGGTGTGATCACGTGACAGATGTAGAAGTTGAGGCTGCATAAAGTTTCTCAAAGTCGTGAGATCTCGTCTACAAACAGGAGGTCACAACATTTCGTGACATCACTGCTCGAGGACCAATGAGATGGCTCACAGGAAACTCAAATGTCAAAGGGATGACGTTGTTGCTGGCGTAGGGCTGCAGTTTGAAGTCTCCTACTAAACCCATGCATGGACGCTGAGACTGTGCGCGCTGCTGACCTCCGCACACGCTCTTAGTTTGATTGGGTTTGGGATCAGAAGAGTCGGGGGGTTCCTTGCAGAATCTCTAGCAGGATTCTTCGTCATAGGATTAGAGTGGTAAGAAAAAAACACCTTTCTGTACAAGTTCATCTTGCTCTGGTGCGTAAACTTATCCTTGGTGTTTATAACATGAATTAAGTTTGCAGGACTTTGCCCCCCATCCCATTTTGTTTTCTTTTTGGTGACTTTTGTCTTGCCTGTTGTCTCCCAGAGGACACAGCATGCTGTCGTCCCTGAAGACCCTGCTGCTGCTCTCGGTCCTGTGCGCACCGACCTCCAGCCTGTGCCTGCGCCTCCAGAGCCGCTCCGACCTCCTCTGCAACCACCTGGCTCTCAGGGTTCCGAGCGACGTGAACGAACCGGGCTACTCCCAGGAAGACAGCTGGGGGTCCCTCCTGCAGTCCGCGGAGTATCTCAGCCCCGCTTTCCCCTCCTCCTCTGCTGAATCCAGCCGGGAAAAAAGGACTTCAAGTCCCGCAAACTACCGCTTCATGAGCCGGACGAAGCTCAGGGGCCAGATGCTCCGCAACAGCATCCAGGGGGACCGGAGGAGCAGACTCACCCTGTCCCTGGACGTCCCCACCAACATCATGAACGTCCTGTTTGACGTGGCCAAAGCCAAGAACCTGCGCGCCAAGGCGGCGGAGAACGCGCGTCTCCTGGCGCAGATCGGGCGGAGAAAATGAGCAAAAACACTGAGAAAGTTTCATAAAATGATTAAACATCCACGAGCAGCATTGGCCCCGTCCTGCAAAATGTGATCATCACTCTTTATTCCTCAAGTAAATAATTTGTCTCTCCTGGAGGAGATGGTCTAAAGGTGAAAACATTTTCTAACATTGCGCTCGTGTTTGTGTTACCACAGCTTTTATTCTCAACAACCAACAGAAACATCTCCAGACTGATTTATTTTTAATATCCAACTCTGAAAATGCTTTGACGTTTAGATGAATGACCTGAAGAATGGGTGTGTAAAAATAAACGAATTTGATTTCGCCCATAGATTATTTAGAGGAAATTAAATGAGTTTATTTTCATTTTCAATTTTATTTATTATTTGAACTATTTTAAAGAAGGACTTCCATTTAATAATAAACTAAATGTTTGATGTAAAAAGGTTGGCCCTACACTTTAGATAATAATTGTGAACTGCTTGACACGTTTTACATTTTTTTGTTTTTCGTGTATTTTATTTATTGAATATTTTATTATTATTTGCTAAAAGTTTTTAAATAAGTCACTTTGTCTATAAATTTCTCAGCATATCACCTCCAAAACTCATGAATTACAGTAAAATGCAAATGCATGTGAATGTATGTGTTCTTCAGATGTCTCTTATTTTTATACTGCAAATAAAGGATTATTTTTCCTGAACTAAAGCAGACGCCACCACGTACATTTGTGTGTTTGTATAATCTTTTTGTACAATGACATCCATTAAACATGATAAGACTTATAGCATGTAAATATTATCAATACTTGGTGTGCTTGGCTAGAAATGAACAAAAATAAACGTGAGAAAATTGCGAAAAAAAAGTTTGAAGCTCAAACTGCAGTTTTGTCATGCTGTCATTTTATATTTTTACCACAAGAGGGCACTAAAACACCTTTATTTTTAAACGGCACTATTAGTATTTCAAGGGTTTCTTTTAAATATTGCCTCCCATATCAGATTAAAGATATGTATTCTAAAACAGTATTGTAATACAAGACCGGCTGGATTTTTAAAATAAATAAAACCTAAAATGCACATGCTAGATTTTTTAGTTTTAGGAACGCGCCAACATCAGACTTCAATGAGTGCACGGAACGATGTCTCCCTCTTGTGGCTATTCTGGATAACTACACTACAGACTTTAGATCTGAGTTAGCAGCCCACTCGTGAAAAAATATTTATTTGTTCAATAAAATAATTATACTAGTTGTAGTTAATTATAGGTTTTCGAGGTTTTTACAAATAAGACATTTCTGATGAAACGTGACAGTAAAATAAGTTACACTGCGAAAAAAGTTTGAAGCTTAAACTGCAGTTTTGACATGCTGTCATTTTGTATTTTGACCACAAGAGGGCGCTAAAACACCTTTAAAGGTACTGTTTCTTAATTAAACTTTGTACTGAACTGAGTTGATGTCAAATGCGCTAAAGGGGACCGCTAGCTGTTTTCGTGACAGATCGCTACACATTGAAACTATTTAATAATGTGTTGACTACTGATTAAACGTTTATGTGAATCCACAACCTAAACATACAAGTAAGCCTAACAATTTATCAGTATTTTTCATACCCTTTTACTTCCAATGACCGGTAATAGAAAATATAGTTAAACGAAATCAGCATGCCAGCAAATGTAAATAAATAAAATAAAATAAAGTAAAAAAATAAAAACGTATGCCAGCAGCGCCTCTTGCTGCTCAGGATGCAGAACTTTCAGTGACGTCATTTCCGTCGACGTGGAGTCCCAGACAGGAAGTGAAGCTTCATTTTGGAGACGTGGAAGTAGCTCTTCGTATGTCCGAGGCTGACGGGGTCTCCTTCGTTCATACACAATGATTAAAAAATTTGACAAGAAAGACGAGGAGTCTGGTAAGAGCGGCTTTAATGTACAGTGTCGTAATTAAACTTTGGACTGAATTCAGTTGATGTCAAATGCGCTGCAGGCGACCGCTAGCTGTTAGCATTAGCTCACTAGCAAAAGCTAATTGTCAAGTAAATTGAACATACCTTTTTACTAATTCGACTGTGGTTTTCACGTAAATATTCTTACTTGTTTTATTGGTACTTGACAATAAAAACGCTAATTTGTTGATTGACACTAAAAATACTTAATTGTTTTACATTTTTATCTTAGTTGATTGTACTATCGAGTCAGCTGTGTCGGCAGAATGTCAGTGTTGGCTCTAAAGACCTGCGTTTAGTTTGTGCTCAATATATAAACAAAACTTTCAGCATCAAGTCTTGTTTAATTTGGTACACTTTGAGAAGCTTTTCTTTTGGCTATAGATAATGTAATTCGTTTGTTTTGACACATAGGAAGTGGGTCAAACCCTTTCCAGCACCTGGAGAAAAGTGCTGTATTGCAAGAGGTAATGTCTACTTATAATGTTAAAACTTAGGACAGCAGTGACGATGAGGAACAATAAAATCATGGTCCAATCCTTAAATAAAACAAAGAATCCTCTCCGGTTCATAGGCTCGTATCTTTAATGAAACTCCCATCAATCCAAGAAGATGCCTCCACATCCTCACCAAGATCATCTACCTCCTCAACCAGGTTTATATATATATATATTGTTTAAAGCTCTAGAAATTGCTTTAAAAACCTAATTTTACAAATGTATGGCTATTTATTTTAATGTGTAGGGAGAACATTTTGGGACCACAGAGGCCACCGAGGCTTTCTTTGCCATGACAAGGCTCTTCCAGTCCAACGATGTAAGACATTAACTATTTATTTATTCAGTTTTTTGTATTTGACACAAATTTACATTTCACTCCGAGTCAAGCAATACAACATTAGTTTGTATTTCACCCTCAAATTTGCTTTTTTTCTGTTTTTTAGCAAACCCTGAGGAGGATGTGCTACCTAACTATCAAAGAAATGGCAAACATCTCTGAGGATGTCATCATTGTCACTAGCAGGTATGTGTCATGGCGTAAAATGTTTTTTTAGTATCAAATGTATTTGATTCATTATACCAATTTTCATTTAGATGGATCAAAATTAAAATAAATTGATTTTAACAAAACTAATGTACAGAAAGTCTTTTTTTAGGTATTTAAATTATATTTTGTGATCTTGGTTTTTTTTTTTGCTACGTTTTGTAGCTTGACCAAAGACATGACTGGGAAGGAAGATGTTTACAGAGGCCCAGCCATCAGAGCTCTTTGTAGGATTACAGATGTGAGTGGTGCTGTCTTCAGGTTTTTAATTTTTATTTATTTATTTTATTTCTTTATTTAAATTAGGACAATGCATATTAATCAACATGTCAGCAGTAAGCATCAATGTAAATATGCCGGAGTTAGCACAGTAGCTAATTTTCATCCGTTTGTTCATCTCATTCATTCTCTTCCCGTGCAAGAAGGGGAATATTTTCTGTTACTCTTGTTTCTGTTTTGAAACTAAAGCAGAAGTGGTTGGTGTTTTTCTTCTCCTCAGACCACCATGCTGCAGGCCATTGAGAGGTACATGAAACAGGCTATAGTTGACAAGGTGCCCAGTGTGTCCAGTTCTGCTCTGGTATCCTCTCTGGTATGAAATCAGAACCTTTCTATTCCATTAAAAAAATCTATTCATTTTATTTGTTTTCAAATAAAAACCTATTTGTTCCAGCTGCTTTTGTTAAGAAAATGGTTGAATGTCTTTGCTTCAATGTAGCACATGGTGAAGATGAGCTATGATGTGGTGAAGCGCTGGGTGAATGAAGCCCAGGAGGCTGCTTCCAGTGACAACGTCATGGTCCAGGTGGGGAAAGCAGGAGGATTTAATAAATCTGTTGTTTTGAAACCCTAATAAATATATTTTTTAATTGTTTTTGTTTTAAATTTTTGCACATCTTTTAGTACCATGCCCTCGGCCTGCTGTATCATCTAAGGAAGAATGACCGTCTTGCTGTGACCAAGATGCTTAACAAGTTCACCAAGTCTGGTCTCAAGTCTCCCTTTGCCTACTGTATGCTGATCCGTATTGCCAGCAAACTTCTGGATGAGACGGAGGCAGGGTGAGTAGATGTGCACACTCTAGGACTGACCAGTCATTTCTCTCTAATCAAATAAAGTGCTGACAAAATGCACGTTGTTTTCCCACTCGCAGTCATGACAGCCCATTGTTTGACTTCATTGAGAGCTGTTTGAGAAACAAGAACGAGATGGTGGTTTATGAAGCTGCTTCTGCTATCGTCCACATGCCCAACTGTACTGCCAGGGAGCTGGCTCCTGCTGTGTCAGGTTAGCAGTTCACTCACATTTTACAACACATCTGAAACTGGCTTCACATTTGCAGCATTCATGGTGTGTGTCATGTTAACAGGTTTTTCAAACCAGCTGCATGCTATTTAGAGTTTAAGCATTTTGACTTTTTTTAAAAACACAATCATAGTAGTGAATCATTTTGGGGAACTATCAACTGTTTAGCCTTTAAACATGACCTCAGTGTCAAGATGGAGTCATGTATCATCAAATTTTAGTAGTTGCACATAACCAGCCCCAATAACCTGGTTAGCTGTTCAGTTTTAAATTTTTTATTTATATTAACCATTATCTATGCAAATCTCTTGTGTGTTTATGGCTGCTAATGCTAGATGCTGCTATGTAGAAAACTGCAGACTGTGAAGTTAAAATCCTGTAAATCTAATTGAAACAGTCTCCTTGCAGTGTTGCAGCTCTTCTGCAGCTCCCCTAAAGCAGCGCTGAGGTATGCTGCTGTCAGGACCCTGAACAAGGTACAGCTTCACTACAATCACTGCACCATGTGCTGTTTGTAGCTGTGATACAAAATGATATGGAAATGAGTCCTTACAAACTTCAAAATTACTAAAGAAACACAGTTCCATTGATTTTCTCTTCAATTTAATTACTGTAAATGTGTGAATGAAATGACTGACAGACTACTTTTATTACATTAATTCATTCAACCTTTATTTATACAAGGAGCAAAACAGATTAACCAGTGAATACAGGTAGTTCATTAACCTGTTTGCCACTTTAATTAGTTCATAACCAAAGTTTCTCTCAAATACATAAGAATATAAATTATTATTAACCCAGCTGAAGCAAAAATAAAGTGCAGTTTTTATGTTGTTTCATTACGGTTAAATATCATCAAAATATAAAGGGTCTGCCTTTGATTTAAACAAATTTGGAATAATTTTTTAAAAGAAATAAGTCACAAATAAAATATCCAACATTCGTTAAAATTGTTTTAAACTTATAACCATTCATGTTCTTTAAGTCAATAATTGACCACCTTATTTAACTGTTTTAAAAATACTTTATTTCCTTTTCTGCATAAAAAACTAGTCATTCCTTTAAAACCATCTTGGCCTGAAATAAAATTATCTAATTAAATACTTTTTTTTTAATTCTTTTTATGGGCCTTTTGTAAAAAATAAAGGATTTGGCAATTTTTGTAAAAAGTTATCTTTCCCCCAATACGCCCCAAAATAATTTTTTTTGGATAATAAAAAAAATCCAGTCTGGATTTGACGCTGGACTCTTCAGGATCTGTAAATAAAAAGAGGCCTTTTTTATAGTCACACTTACCAGTACATTAGTCTTCCAGTCTTCATTTTGCAGCTTGCAACCAATTCAAAACACCTTTTTAATATTAAATGTTCACTTGTGCACTTTACAAGGAATATTTTGCTCTCACAATCAAAATAAAATGATTTTGTCGGACGAGATGAGAGACGGGGCTCCACAGCAGTCCTGGCCGGGGAAGACGTACCTTTTCCAGCGTGAGTTGAACTGCGTCTTGGTGGATTTTTTTGTTTTTCTAGAGGCTCTCAATAAAAAAATTTGAACACCCATCTAGTGGGCTAATATAAAAATTGATAGTTTAGTAGCAAAGATAAAAAGGAAACCATTATTGAGAAGGAACATTTTTATATGATAAATATGGGATAAAAATTAGTTTTTACAGTTTATTCTAACGTGACTGATTTTTCCCCAAAGGAGCACGTGCAGTAAAATTACTGAGCTTAGAGCATTAAAAAATACACAAAATTAAGTTTTTTGTTTTTCTGTTTTTCAGAAAAAATTCACATTTATTGACTGCACCAACATAGATTAATGAAAGGACAAAAATAAATTTCTGATCCCCCACACC